ATTTACACACAAAAATTAAGATTTAGTAGACGTTTAATTAATATACATTTAAATCAAAAGAAACATTTTATTTGTAAATTTATCGCAATTAGCATATTGAAAATGCAGCATCTGTCTTCTAAAACATTTGTATATTGAATGTCAAGGAGGCTGAGTACTCAAAAAATATTTCTGATGATTGTATATGTGTTATAGAATACTCTATACACTGGCAAAAGTGGCTTATATAAATTTCATATCAAAGTCGCACGAGTTTCATGTGGCATGAGAGAGAGACAAAAACAAGACGCATGAAATTTAATTTATGTAAAATCTTCATGGCATTTTTACATAACTTACATAATATGAATTTAACATGAAGAGCATATCAGATAAATATTTAAAATATGCAAATAAAAAATATAAATAAAATTCTAAAGAAAAATTATATGAATATTGTATAAACCAATTTACACACTATTCGCATGAAAAACTGTTTATATAATTTTTACATGATTTTCAAACAATTTTCAGATAATGAATAGCATTTTTCTCTGTATAACCCTCATTTAAACGCATTTCGTATTGTTTTTCTTAAATATCAAAATTTAAAAAAAAATCGACCATGTATGCAATTAACTGTTTTACATAAATTATTGCATATATTTGTATTTCCTCTTTGTATTTTCCGCTTGTTTTTGATACCTTTTTGAATAATTTCTTCAACGCTGCTTTCGGCTACTGTATTTTTTTTTTTTTTTTTTTTTTTTTTAATTTCTCATTGGTCCAGAGCTTAAAACACGGTATTAATTATTAGTCTACGTTCTGCTGAAAATGACCAAAAATCCTTTTATAGTTTTGATTGCACATGCGTAGATGTGATACCAAAGTAAGCAGTTGACAGTAAGCAGTCAGCAGTAGACAGTTGGCTGTCATACCCCGGTATATGGTATTCCATACGAGATATTTTTTTAAAAATTTATTTTATACAAATATATAGGACTTCTCTGTACATAAATTACACAATTTAAAACAATTTTTATCGCGTTTCAAAGATATAAAAATTTAAAACAAAATCGATTTATTTACCCACTCCACATTTAAATACAACGTTTAAGGTCAATTTATTCAACTTAATAAAAGTTCAAAATACACGAAAATTTTTATTTGAACGTAAACATGGTAAATAACATGAATAATTTGTATCCAATCTATTTAGCTCAGATAGACCAAATATTATCATTATTATTATAGCTCAGCTTCAATCAGTCTGTTTACAGTTAATGCATGACTTAAACTGTTCCACGAATCCGACACAGTCATTGCTTTCTGTGTAAAATAAAATGAGGAGTAGATAACTCTAAACGATGTGTCGTTCAAGCCCGCATGGGGGCGCTGCAGATATGTCATTTTCGTCCAATCCAATGGTGGAAAATGTAGTTTTCAAAACTCGAGCAGTGCATTATTAGTAGTATATAAAATTGACAAGACTTGATAAGATACTTATTAGTTGAAGGTAAGGTTTGATAAATTTTTGAATTATTCTATATTAAGTTGCTATTAAAGCTGCTACGTGCATTTGTCCATCCATTCATTTTATGTATGGATAGAGCGGCAAATAAAATTCAAAAACATGTCAGTGTCTGTCATGAATTATCATGTCTTACTGAGTCATGCATTGCTATATCATCAACTGCCATATAAAAACTACTAAAATTTATAATTATATAAAGGACAACATAACTGCATTGTGTTTATACTTTGTTTATCTTCAATGTGCACAATATTCGTCAGATAATGATATCAGCTCGAATTTTCTCGATGAACAATAATCGAATCAGTACATCCGTTAACTTCCTTGTAATAATTTGATATTTAAAGGTAACAACATATATAAATTCTGTTCTTTGACAGGTGTAATCTTCAATTACAATCCAAAATGGGGGATGACAGTGAATGGATGAAGTTACCTACAGATGAGAAAGTTCAGCACAAGGTATCTTTTACAGTTATTATACTGTCTGTTAAGCAGATTACATTTTTTTTAAAAACGGTGATAATTTATACTATTTTAAAATTTATATTTGATAAGATGATGTTGTGCAGGTCCAGTCCAAAGACTATTTCTATCTACATAGCTATTAATAGCTACGTAGGTATTTAAACCTACCCAAAGTAGCTATTTTTACCTACTTTTTGTGTTATCTGCATTTTGTGGCCAAAAGATTGAACGGCGCAACATGGTGAATACCATATTTTTGATACAGTCACACCAATGGTGAATAAGACAAAAATTTGGCCAAAAAATGATTACTGAATGAATCAGCAATGTTACATTAGTTTCTACGCAAAATTGATAAAATACGAAGTAATCATTTTTTGGCCAAATTTTTGTCATATCCATCATCAGTGTGACTGTATCAAGAAATTTTAGGCTCACCATGTTGTGCCGTTCTTGCATTTGGCCTCAAAATGCAAGTAAAGCAGAAAGTAGGTAAAAATAGCTACTTTGGATAGGTTTAAATACCTACGTAGCTATTAATAGCTACGTAGGTAGAAATAGTCTTTGGACTGGACCTGTTGTGATGACGAATTATAGATAGAATTTAAGCTGTATTTCATGTGAAATTAGAATTATCAAACAGGTTTAAATCATGATGTAGAGTTATTTTAGTCCTTTTCAACGGCTTTTGGGACATCTTAATGTCAATTTTGCCATTACAAAGAATCCTAGCTTTACATCATAGTGTTGCAGGGTCCGACACTCGTCAAAATTTGGTCTCGCCATTTGGGCAACCTAGGTACTGATCACAGGTTGCCCGAATGAATTTCAGGTCGTCCAAATAAAATATCAAATGAAACAAAACTTAATGTGCAAGTGTTTAAAATTTGATAAGATAAATAACAAGTGTTTTTGAATTAAAAAAAATGTAAACCAGACATTTTTGGAATGTCAAGATGTCTTCAAGTATTTTATCAAACAAAAATATAAGCAGAATCAGACATGTAGAATGCTAAAGTTTGTAGTTTAAAACATCCATTTTCACTTACCATGAAGGCCTAAATAAATGGGGTCAATTATCCCTGGACTGAATTAACCCCGTGTGATATTACAGTGGACACCCAACATGGTAGCTGCAATAATGTAGCCCTCTCCGATTTTTTTATCTGATATTTTCTGGAGAGGGCTACAATTCCATCGCATCTCCGTAATGGTGCAAATATATTTTTTTTATACGGGTGATTGGAGGCAAAATAAATTATTTTTACATTAAACTTACTTCTTATAAGACGGAATTTTTATTCACTGTCAACAACATAGCCTGTTAAACTCGAAAACCATGTTAAATAAATCTGTGTCTTTCCCAGCTGCAATATTCAGCAGCCATGATAGTTCACGCGTGACGTAGTGAGACTTTCGCTTGAAATTTGGAACAACCAAATAAAGCAAATGTCGATGTTTATAAACAATTGTGCTATAATATATTACAAAAACATCGATAAATAAAACCATTTCAAGTGTTATTTTTGCGCAAACAGCGATACGTATGCTTAAAATAAGGGAATTCCTGGATCCGCTCCTATAGAACCTAAATTCTCATTGGCTGTCCCAAAATAAATCCATCAAGGTCAGTAAACATGGCGGATAAATTCAAGTTAAGCTGTTGACACACACGAAAAATAACCGATATATGGGTCGTTGTGAATATTTTTGGATCGATTTATGTTTTGCATAATTACATATTTGGATTCCAGGTAAGAGATAATAATAAAATAGCCGTTTACTGATAATTTGAGCCGAAATCCGTGGGGGTGTTATCCACTGCCGCATCTGCGCCATTATAGATATCCTAAGGAGTTGTAGCCCTCTCCCAAAAAAAAAAAAAAAAAAAAAAAAAAAAAAAAAATCGGAGAGGGCTACATTATTGCAGCTACCAACATGGCTGTCTAGCAGCAGAAAACGATCGTCAGATGATCAGAAAGTTGTAGGAGAAATGCAAGATGTTACAATGATGATTATTACACTTTATATTTAAGGTGATTTATGACTAAGTTGACATATTTTATATTTCAAATAAAACTTTTTTTAAAGTCTTTTGGTAAAAATTGCATCAGCTGATAGATCGAACACTGAGATTTGGCAGGAAGAAAAATATACGCGGCTGCAATTTGAACATGTGAAATGGGTTGGTTTGGTTACAGGAAAATATGTTTTCAAGGCCCTATGAAGTTTATTTAAAATATTAAACATCATTAAAATTTTAAATATTCCCAACTCGTCCCAGGTCGTCATTTGGGCGAGCCAGACTGAAAATCAGGTCGTCCGAAATCATTTCTGGATGGAAATGACGAGGTGACGAGCGTGAATGTCGAACCCTGGTGTTGGCAATCTTTCATATTTCATAAAAACCTCTGAACACTTAAGATTACTTCAATACTTGCTGATTCATCTTGTGTACAATATAGTTAAGAATGTCAGTTCAAATCTTCTCAATAAAGAAACAGTTTTTTAATCTGCTCCACAGTAAACGTTAACGCTGTACTTGATTTATTTACAGGTGTGGAAAGCTCGTCTAGCAGGATATGAGGAAGCCTGTAAACTTTTTGGTTCTATCGGCAACGAAAAGTCCCCCGAGTTTAACAAATATGCTGGTATAATGAAGAAATTTGTAACAGATACCAATGCTGTTGCTCAGGAAAAAGCTCTGGATGCTGTCATAGCATTTGTGGAGAATGCTAATGTAGCAGGAAGGTTAGTATTATCTGCAGTTGAGGTACAGTGTTAAGATGAGTGAATTAGTACCAAATATCAAAGCTGATATTGGACAAAAATCATTTATTTTAATTATGATTATATAAATATCTATTTACAGGGTCTGCCAAGATATTATTCAGGGAGTGATCACTAAGTGTTTCAATGCCAGCAAGCAGAGAACAAAGGAAAAAGGAATAGAAATTGTCATGTTGTACATAGAAATGGAAAAACAAGACATAGTTCAGGTGAGTGTGACAAATGTAATCTGTGATTTAGAAATACAGTACAACATGACAGTGGATGTGTTGTGATAAAGCTATTCAAGGAAACTGATATTCAGTTTTTATATGTCGGTTTAAACATCTTTTATTTCTTCAATCAATTTACACTTTAAAGAAATATTGACTAGATTGACTTCATCATTTGAATATGAGACAGGAAATGCACTGTATCTTTGTCATTATAATGTACTAAGTGACCTTTTGAATAAAATCTTGCCATTGGAAAATAAAACTTACTGTTTCGTCCTTTAGATTTTCTGTGGAACATAGAAATGTAATGATGTATAATTTAGCTGTATTTTGTTGTTTAACAGGAATGCTTGATAGAAGGATTAGGCAACAAGCAGCCAAAAATTGTGGTTGTCACCATTCAGACACTGCGTATGGCTCTCAGGTAAGAATTTTACACAGATTATGTCTTTAAAAGTATAAAAAGTATTACCTTTTTTTATTGTATTAAAAAAAAACTATCAATCTCCAATTATCTTTTGACTTATTTAACAAATAATAGTAGATTAAATGTCTCACATAAACACTTCTTTCTGTAGGGATTTTGGAAATAAGATCATGCCTATCAAACCCCTCGTACCAAAGCTACCCAAACTGTTGGAAGACCGAGACAAGAATGTAAGGGAGGAAGCCAAACTTCTCATTATAGAAATGTACAGATGGATTAAACAAGCCATCAAACCACAAATGACCAACTTCAATCCAATACAGGTAAAATGGATTCTCTCCCTTTATACATGTCCTTGTTTGTAGCTCACCTGAGTTATCAAACAAGGGGGGAAAAAATATGTTTATGGGATCAAGTCACAAAGTCCCCTCAACATTACTTGCCCAGGAGCAGACAAAACTTTTTTTTCAAAACAACATTGAATGCAATCAGTGTGTAGAGCAGCTTTAATGCTTTTATGTCCAAGGATTAGATTGTTGAAATACTTAAAGAAGCTTTAAATAAAAAGCTATAATCATGATAATAAAGATGAGTGCTGAATTTACAGAGAGACTAAGACACAGAAAATTCAATTTAGTAATGTAATCCATGTAGCTGAACATTTTACAATTGTTGTGTAATCTTTAAATTGTTTGCAGAGATGAAATACATCTCAAAAATGTAATATGATTGTTCCACAGGTAGCTGAACTGGAAGCAGAGTTTGAGAAAATTGGAAATGAGAAGCCTCAACAGCAGAGATTTCTACGTTCACAACAAGATCTGAAGGCCAAGATGGAGGAACAAGCACTAGCTGGGGGAGGGGGTGATGAGGGAGAGGGTATGGAAGGTCAACAATCATGGGTTTCCTGCTTAGTCCAGTGTATAACATATTATTCTGCCTTGTATTAAATTAATTTTGAAAATTTTTGTTTTCCAGAGGAGGCAGAGGATGAAGTGGATGCCTATGAACTGCTTTCAGCTGTTGATATTCTTGCCTTGCTTCCTAAAGATTTTTATGATAAAATTGTAAGGTTTCATTTTTTTAATGTGAGCAAAAATATGGCAAAAGAGTTTATATTTGTGAACTTGTCTATTATTTATTTCTTATTCAGTCCCAAATTTTGTATACTTTTTGAGAAATTCTTATGAATTTTCACTCTTGTAAATTATGTATCAGGGTACTTACTTTATTGTTGTACAATTAATTACCCCTTTTGAGGTCATAAAATGTGTAATTTTCCTCAATTCTGTAAATTCCTTTGAAAATGACATAAAGTTGAAGCCCATATATAGTGATCTGATCCAAAATAACCAAGGCCGCGTAGCGGTCGAGGTCAGGACAGGTCATCCAGCTGGCCAGGTCGAGGGTCCTTATTTCACCATGTTGAACTCACAAGGGGTAATCAATTGTTTTATTATACCGATATATAGGCCTATTGAAAAGTATGAATCTCTATAACTGTTATCAATTCTTTCTTTGATCGGGATCGGGATTTGCTACACTCCGTGTAGTGAAGTTGTTTACATTGACATCTGCAAGTCATGTAAGTTTTTGCATCATGATTTACTGATTAAAACAGTATTTGGTTGATAGCGACATACATTGATATATCTAACGATTACTTTTCCTCTACACAGTCAAAATCTAACACAGAATTCAACTCTTTAAAGAGCCGCTTCTACATTACATTGAACTGAATTGTAATGATATTTTGAAATGAGTAAACTGTTTAATTTAACGATAAAATTTTACCGTATTCTGTATGGTAATGCAAAACAGACCATTCACAATTTTAAAAACGTTGTTTTTCTCGAATAATCATTATTTTATGCATTAACTTCACTCAAAAAGGAATTTTTGATTAAGAGGTCATTGTTTAGTGGTCATTAATAATAATGACCGGGTCATTATATCCCACATGCTATGATTCCTAGGTCATTATTGCTGTAAACAGTACCATTCTGAGTCATTGTTGTGTTTTAAAGTTTTCTTACCAGCCAATCAAATTCGAGTATTATCAATAAAGGTATTATAACAAATTTTATTATCCCAAAGGTCACAACTTGTGTTTTAGCATTGTCGAAGAATTATGAACTTTCAAAACTTATTATTATTACCTTTCTGTAGGAATCCAAGAAATGGCAGGAGAGAAAGGAAGCCTTGGAGGCCCTAGAGAAGTTGACCAGCAATCCCAAACTGGAGGGAGGGGACTACGGTCAGCTTGTAAGGGCCCTACTCAAGGTAAACTTTACTGTCAAAATCTGCTCCTCCTGGTTTAGAATTTTACTTTTTGATTTGTATTTAATAGTTTTATGTAAAGTATTTGTGGAATTATTGTTTCAAGTGTTTGAATCTATGCAATCGATGGATAGTTTACATGTATTAAAACATAAATATCTTTGCATAAGTCTATTTCATGTTAAGTATGAACACTGAAATACAGAATAATACTGGGTCTAAGAAACTTGGGTTAATGTTTTTTTAGCCTTATGAAGTGCAGACAAGTAGTGAATTAGTATTAATTTATACTGTATACAGCTACAAGAAAGACATGTATTTCAGGATACTAGTAATCATTCCAATATTGATATGTTTTTATAGGTGATCAGCAAAGATACCAATGTAATGCTGGTAGCACTAGGTGGGAAATGTTTAGCTGGAATTGCTAATGGACTACGTAAAAAGTTTACGCCTTATGGAGTCAATGTAAGTATATGTGTGGTATTTACAGATTCCTCAAATCTCTTAGAGGTATTAAATTAATACTCTGAACAAAAGTCAATTGAAGTAAAAGTTAAGCATGTTAAAGGAGTTGAAATACACATGGATGAAATGGTTTGTTTATTAAATTGTTCTAGCAATAAATATAATGACTTCCTGATATTTTTTCTTGCAGACTGTGCAGTGTGTCCTCGAGAAATTCAAGGAAAAGAAACAGATGGTTGTGGTAGCCCTTAGAGAGTGTATTGATGCTGCCTTTCCAAGTGTAATTTCTTTATCTCCTCATATATAAAATGTTTTGTTACAGTGTCTAAATATTTCATACTCTATCTTTACAAAATGGCCCAATGTAAAAAAGGAAGATATGGTTCTTAGACTTCTTATTTGCAGCATGCATTATGTGCAGTAGAATCAAAAGATGTGAACATGTGGGAGAATTTTAAATGAGTTATAATGCAAGATGAATGCTTTGACTTCTTTAGATAACATTGGATGCAGTACAAGAAGACATTGTAGCAGCCCTAGACAATAAGAATCCCTCCATCAAAGCAGAAACGGCCAGCTTCCTGGCAAGATGTTTTGCCAAGAGTACGATGAGCACACTGCCAAAGAAATTACTCAAACTATTCTGTACAAGTTTGATGAAGGTAATTCTAGTACTTTTGTTTCCCTGAAATTTCATTCAAATGCAATAAAATTATTGTATTTTGAAAAATTCCTTTAAAACAATGGAGATCATACATGCCTATATTTTGGGATACTTGATTCATACTTTTGTTGTCATACAGAGGCCTGTTCAACAGAGTGAACATTTGTGAGCGCGCGCCGATATTCTTTATACCAGCAGTTGAAATGTTCGCGAGCGCTCGCTCTGTTGAACAAGCCTCTGGTGTCAGTTCTAAAAGCCACAAGCTTTCTTTGCAAAGTGTCTAATTTACAAAAATTGCAATTTACTGTCAATACCTTTAAGACCTATACTAACAATTTTTTGGAACAAAATAATTTTTTTTTTAAATTGTTCAGAATAGAACAGTCAGAGCAGAGTGTAAGACAATGATGTTTCTTTTCAGACTGTATCGGATACTGCACCAGACGTCAGGGAGGCGTCATTCCAGGCGCTGGGAACAGCAATGAAGGTCGTGTCCGAGAAACACATGATGCCATTTCTTGTGGATGTGGATAACATTAAGATGCAGAAGGTTATTATTTTTTTTTCTTATAAGTAAATATATGTGTTCAAGAGTCAGTGTTCAGACATTGATTTTTCGTTGAGAATTTTTATAATTTTATCAATCATTTTTGCCCCTTTTTCCAGATTAAGGAATGTTGTGATTCTGCTGTGTTGTTAAATATGAAGGGAGAACCGAGGTCGGGGCAGGCGGCCAGCAAACCAGCTGACAACCAGCCCAAACCAGTTCAGCGACCGGCCACAGCCCCATCAGCAGCTGCAAAGGTAGCTAAATATAAAATGATAAAAACATTATTTGAGCTCTTTGAGCAATTTTAGATGTAACACTAAAGCCTATCTACAAGTAAATGTTGCTACTTCTTTTGAAAAATACTACTAATAGTGTAAAAATTGGAATGAAAAAGGTTAAATTCTGTAGGAGATTTTTTTTTAGAGATCTTAATTTTCTTTGATTTTTGCAGGGGACATCATCTCGTCCTTCCACAGCACACCCTAGTGGTAAAAGTAAGGTAAGAAAAGACATAATGACATGTATATATATTTAGCAATTGATTGTCACTAACTTTTGTGGTAGATGGGGTAATAAACATTGTGCATTGTAATTTTTTTTAATAGGCTTCTTCAGGGCCCCCAAAGAAAGCAGCAGCTAAAGGGAAGGGGACAAAGAAAGGCCCAGCTGGAGGAGATAAACAGGAAATCACGGAGGCTGTACTGTCTGTAAGTCATGTGGATGGGGTAGAAATAAATTTTTTATAAAACACTTGGAGGCAATACATCATATAGATTTACTCTTCTTGACCAGATATCAGTGACTTTTCGTACAAAAGAGAATACTTCTGTGCTAAATAAAGATACATGTATATTTTAACCTCTTAACAATTGACTTAAAAAATGTACTTATTGTTACTTTGTAGGATGAAGCTGTGGATGAGAAAGCTGAGGACTTATTTACTGCTGATGTTCTTAAACAGCTTGTCAGTGCCAACTGGAAGGAGAGACTGGAGGGAATTCAGAGAGTCACAGATGTAGGAGTCTGGTCCTAAAAATCTGCATTCTGCATAATATATGTTTCTTCCTTCAATCATTCCCTTATTTCTTTTTTGTGTGATCACTTGATATGTACACATGTTTATATTAAATGATCAATGTTTATAGATTGTGAAGGAAAAGAGTAAAGAAGAGTTAAAGACACAGGTGGTGGTGAGGACAGTCGCTAAAAAGCCTGGTCTTAAGGATAATAACTTTCAGGTAATGATGTTGTAAAAGACCTAAAGAAAACATTTTGCTATTTTTCAAATTTCTGTTCAGTAGTTTGATCTATAGTTTGGTACATTGGGAAATCTTAAAAGTCTTTTCATTGGAAAGGAAAAGTTCAAAAGATATTAATTTTACTTAGAAAAAACCAATATAATATTGAGTTAGACTGATATTTTCTGATCAGTTGCAAAAGGAGAAACGATGAAAATTCTTTTTGGAGTTTTGGAGTAGATGACCTTTTTCTGTGTATAATTTCAAGTTTGTTTTAGCAGAAAGGGCTTTTCCCTTGTAAATGTATCTTGCTTTTTTCAGTGAAAATGTTATTTTGCAGGGGGAAAAATATGCACTACCAGTGTACTTTTGATGAAATTAAATAAAGAATCTGAATACTGTTCTGCAGGTGCTTAAATGTAAGATGGACTTGCTGGCACATCTAGGAAAGAACACAGTGTTTACCAAAGTGTCGGCTGGGTACGTTCTCAGTGACCTTGTGGACAAGATTGCGGACGTGAAGAATGGATCAGCTGTTCAGGAGGCCCTCAGTTGTATATCAGAGGCCTGTACTCTGGAGTTTGTAGGCAAAGAGGTAGGTCACAGTGTAGAGGAGATACAGGTGCTTGGTTTGTTCATAAACTGTATGTAGTGTTTCTTAGTTTTATACAGGATACAGTCTCCGATTATCTACTGATATGAAATGTGTGTAGATTTATCCATTGTTATGTCTTGTGTAGGTCATCACGATGGCATTTGAGCAGAAGAATCCAAAGGTCCAGTCAGAATCCCTCAACTGGCTGTCCACTGCCATTAAGGAGTTCGGCCTAAAGTAAGCTGTTTGTACTAGATAGAAAAAAATTTACACTGGTTTTGAAATTTACTCTCTGAATGAGAAGTTAGATCGTTTTTTATACCCCTATATATAGGAATCACCTTGTCCGTCTGTCTGTCTGTCCGACTGTCTGTGCAATCGTGTCCGGTCCATATCTTTGCTTACAGATTTTACATTAGTTTCTACTACTCCACACTAAGATTGCTCATGACCTAAGGGTGTGTCATGACCTTGACCCAAGGTCATTTGGGGAAGTTCAAGGTCACTGGAAGAAAAATTTCATAATTCCTGTCCGGTCCATATCTTTCTTATTGATAAACTTGGTAGGTTTTCTTTTCTTTTACAATTCTCATTTCACACAAAGATTGCCCATGACCCATAGGGTGTGTCATGACCTTGACCCAAGGTCATTTGGGAAAGTTCAAGGTCACTGGAAGAAAATTTTCAAAAATCATGTTTGATACATATCTTTTATGGATAAACTTGGTAGGTTGTCATTTCACACATAGATTGCCCATGACCCAAGGATGTGTCATGACCTTGACCCAAGGTCATTTTGGAAAGTTCAAGGTCACTGGAAGAAAATTTTCATAATTCCTGTCCGGTCCATATCTTTCTTATGGATAAATAGGTTTTTATTTCACACAAAGATTGCCCATGACCCAAGGGTGTGTCATGACCCAAGGTCATTTGGGGAAGTTCAAGGTCACTGGAAGAAAAATATCATAATTCGTGTCCGGTCCATATCTTTCTTATGGATAAACTTGGTAGATTCTCATTTCACACAAAGATTGCCCATGACCCAAGGGTGTGTCGTGACCTTGACCCAAGGTCATTTGGGAAAGTTCAAGGTCACTGGAAGAAAATTTTCAAAAATCATGTTTGATACATATCTTTTATGGATAAACTTGGTAGGTTGTCATTTCACACAAAGATTGCCCATGACCCAAGGATGTGTCATGACCTTGACCCAAGGTCATTTTGGAAAGTTCAAGGTCACTGGAAGAAAATTTTCATAATTCCTGTCCGGTCCATATCTTTCTTATGGATAAACTTGGTAGGTTTTTGTTTCACACAAAGATTGCCCATGACCCAAGGGTGTGTCATGACCTTGACCCAAGGTCATTTGGGGAAGTTCAAGGTCACTGGAAGAAAAATATCATAATTCATGTCCAGTATATCTTTCTTATGGATAAACTTGGTAGATTCTCATTTCACACAAAGATTGCCCATGACCCAAGGGTGTGTCATGACCTTGACCCAAGGTCATTTGGGGAAGTTCAAGGTCACTGGAAGAAAAATTTCATAATTCAAGTCAGGTCAATGTCTTTCTTATGGATAAACTTGGTAGGTTCTCATTTCACTGAAAGATTGCCCATGACCCAAGGGTGTGTCATGACCTTGACCCAAGGTTATTTGGGGAAGTTCAAGGTCACTGAAATAAAAATTTCATAATTCGTGTTTGATACATATCTTTATTATGGAAAAACTTACTTCTGAAAAACCCAGCGGGGGGTATTTTGTCCCGTTTGTACAGTTCTAGTTTTTTTTTTTCATTTATAGTTGTTTGTAGCAACTAATTTATTTGGTGATATGGATGACTGCCTAGAGGTTTTCATCATATTATCACCAGTGCATAAAGTATTAAAGTGATTCAATAAGCCAAATAATATTGTTCAAAACAATGCCCTGGATCAATGATATGCCACTGTATAAACAGAATGATTGTCATTTGTTAATGATACAAATGTGTGTTGATCTATCTGTATCTTTTTGTTTTCCATTTTCAGAGTGAATGTAAAGTTGTTGATTGAAAACATCAAAAAATCCTTTGCTCATACAAATCCAGTAAGTTTTGCACAGTTTACATACTATGTAAATTAAACCTATCATAAAGTGTATATTGTGAGGAATGGTTGAATCATCTGAATTGTATTGAATTATCTCTGAAATAAGTAAGAATTCTACAGTGATTGGGAAGGGCTTGCGCCACGCGCCATAGTCGCATTGAAGTGAAAGATGGCGCATTAAATCAATCAATCATGGTGCCAAGGTGCGCATTCAATTTTTAGCGATGTTATTTGGAAATATTTTGTGTACTACTTTCTTCTTGTTTTGCTTTCGTTTTGAATGCAGTCAATTTAAAACAACAAATCTCATTGGTTGAAACCTGTCAAAAAGTACTTCCGGTTAAACGAAGCACTGACATGAGGTATAATGCTTCATTCATTTGTATGGTAGGGCTGTTCCCTTTCCAAAACTGTCGTAAATTTTAACAAAAAAAACCAGTCAGTTATATTCCAAGCAAGTTCCTTTAAATTTGCTGCATTTCATGCGTTAAAAATCGGATTCGGTTAATTAAAAACGTGTTTTCTCTCGTACTTTATATTGTTTGTCATTTTGTTATTTCTTAAAATGGCCCTTCTGATAATATTGATGACCCATTTATTTTCGAAATGGCCCATCAAAAATATTGACAGTTGCGCCATAGTCCCATTGACCATTTTGGCCTTCCCAGTCACTGAATTCTATACCCATTCTATATTTCTCCAGGTAGTGAGATCAGCAGGGATTGGGCTGTGTGGTGTTATCTATATGTACATGGGACAGAACTTCAGGATCATGTATGACAATGAGAAACCAGCTCTACTTAAAGAATTAGATGCTGAAATAGAAAAGGTTAGAAATGTTAATAACTTTTTATGTGAGAACTTTATTTTAACATTATTACTCAAGATGGTTTTTGTGCAAAGTTCATTCCTGCATATATTTTATGAAAACATATACGTAGCTAAAATTAAAAAAAAATGTGATTTTTTTTATTGCTTATAACATGTATAGATCTTGTGAAAATAAGTTTTCTTTAAAGTTTGAAGATCTACAGTACTAACATGATTAAAGTTATTTTATAAGAGATACAGTGTAGAAAAAAAATGTTAAAGAAAGAGATTGGATTACATTGTGTGTATCGTGTTATGAAGGTGAAAGGAGAGAAACCCCCTGCCCCAGTTCGAGGTCTTGCTGCTGGGGGAGATGCTGATGAAGAGGATGATGATGCAGACCAAGATGACAAAGATGATGATAAGATTGATGACTCATTGCCTAGGACTGATATCAGGTACAGAGGACTTTATTTCAGAAATAAGTAAACCAAGGAGTGCATATACATGTAAGGGTTGAAAAATCTTCACCATTCTAGGTAAGAATAATGTTTTCATCTGAAATAATTTACATCAATTTATATTTCATGTTTTAAACCAGAAATAAGTATAGAACTTGAAGGTTTTTGTGTTCTTTAGTGAGAGGTAACTGTAAATACGTGTATGTATCTGAGATGTTCCCTTTCTTTAGTGAGAGGATAACTGTAAATGAGATTTTCCTGTTCTTTAGTGAGAGGATAACTGTAGATATTTGAGATTTCCTGTTCTTTAGTGAGAGGATAACTGTAGATATCTGAGATTTTCCTGTTCTTTAGTGAGAGGATAAGTGTAGATATTTGAGATTTTCCCATTCTTTAGTGAGAGGATAACTCCTGAGCTGGTTGACGAGATGGCAGACAAGAACTGGAAGATAAGAAAGGAGGCGTTGGAGAAAGTCGAGGCCATTCTAAAGGAGGCGCCTTTTGTTGCCCCCAGTTTAGGCCCCCTACCGGAGGCTCTCAAACTGAGGCTGAATGATAACAACAAAATACTGGTTTGTTTGTTTCTTTACTTTGAGTTTGTGCTGATTTACTTCATAAATATGTTCATATTAAAAGAACATTCAATGATTTTTAGTGCATTCAAGAATTTATTTCACAAGTGGACCGAACAGTAATTTTTTGGAAATTTTCATGTTTGCTGTGCATGGATGAAATAGAGGAAAAATCCTGTCATGTAGAAGATTAAATTCCATACTGAAATTTTATTCAGAGTCTTACGTTAAACTAAACCAAATTAATTTTGCATTAATACAATGCTGTTTGATTTGTTTACAGATCGGTACCACCCTGGGAATATGTTCCTCCCTGGGTACAAAATTGGGACCTCACTGTAAAGTCCACATCAAAGTGATGGGACCTGCCATCATTAGCTGCTTTGGAGATAGCAAGGTAAGAGGTTCATTGATAATATTTTATATGGTGCTTTAATTTGTCACTTTCATTTGAGAATGGTCTTTTTTACAGAACAATATGTTATATGTGTGATTTGATTTGCTTTCAGCCTAACCTCAGAGCCTCTGCAGTGTCTACACTGAATGTTTGGATGGAGAACTGTAATCTGATACCACTGGTGGAGCAGGAGACTTTCAGTGATGCACTCAAACTGGAAAACCCAAATCTCAGGCAGGAGGTGGGTATTCAGTGTTAAACAGATTAAGACTGATTGACAGTAAAGAATGTTCATTTTTTTCATAGAATTAGAATTCATTGGAAAAAAAAAATGTATTCTAAGAATTTATAACCTATTTAATGCATTTATAGTAAGAATTTACAAATATACATGTATACTCGTACATGTATTAGTATCAGGGATTTTGATTAATTCACTCTCAAAATCTTGTTCTGCCTTTTAGTTGCTTGGATGGTTGAGTGAGAAACTACCCAATCACAAACCACTTCCTGCTGAGTTTAAGTTATGTATACCTCACCTGCTGTCTTGCCTTGAGGATAGAAATGGAGAAGTCCGTAAAAAAGCTCAGGATGCCATTGTCCCCTTCATGATCCACACTGGATATGACTCTGTTTTCAGAGCTTGTTCAAAACTAAAGGTTTGTTGAACTGTCAGATTTTACTCGCATATTTTATTTATACCTTATTTCTATAAATAGTTTGTTGCGTAAACTTTAAGTACCTATGTACCACAAGAATATTTTTACACATGCTTCTGTTATTCCAACTGGAGGCATTTGGTCCAGGTGTATCCATTAATAGTACATGTAATACGATTCACCATTATTATATGTATATACATCTATTTAGACTCTCTTTTATATAGCATCTGTTTCTATGGGATTTTTTAAATTGACAATAAGGATTTAACAATTTCCATGAGAACTGAACATAAAATATGAGAAAACTCACAAACACAGATTAAAATTACAATGAATTTAATTTTTGTTTTACTAGCCTGCATCAAAAGATCAGATTATGGCAATTATTGAGAAAGCCAAGGCTAATCTGCCAGCCAAGCCAGTTAAGGCAAAGAAGGCCCCGGCCAAGGCTTCATCGGCCGCAGTAGTGGTGGACGACTATGAGGAGGAAGTTAAGGCCCCCAGCAGGCCCCTGTCTACAGCCTCCTCAGAGGGAGCTGCAGAGTCCAAACCAGAGACCAAGGCTAAGACAGTCAGAGGAAAGGCCAAGGCTGTAAGTATCTAGTAAATAGTAGGGAGATATTGTTACTTGATGATAAGCTCAAACAAGAGAAAAAGGGGTCAATAGGGGGCAAGGATGGGCTTACAGAGGTTTTCAAAGTTTGTATTTGGAAATAAAAGGACTCGGATAAGCTTGGCAGCAATGAGCCTCTTTTTTTCTTGGCCAATGAAACTGAATATTTTGGATCACAGATTTCTTTCCCCCACCATATTATTTCCAAGTTTACATAATATTTTTTTTTTTGATAACTATCATTATAGGCTGCACCAGCTACTAGCAAGAAAAAGAAAACAGAGGAGGATACCAGTCCTCCCATGAATCTAACAGTCCCTAAAGAAAAAAGATTCAAGGATGAAAAAAGTCTCAAGGTTTGTCATATCATCATAGTGGCTACAGTTTATGTTTGTCCTCAGTTGTATCATATTGTTATATATTGTATGTGGTACATTTTCATTTTCTGTTGGATGATTTGTAGGTTCTGAAGTGGAACTTTATTCAGCTGACTGGGGAGTATGTAGAACAGCTGACCGTTCAGATGGAGAAAAACTTCAGTAAGGGGATGATGGACATGATGTTTAATGTGGACTTCAAACAACACACCAAGGCCATAGAGATTCTCATCAAGGTAATGCTCACTTCAAAAATTTATACTGAAGCTGACAGGATTTACCTGCAATGTCATTTGTTGGTTGTTTGCTAAATAATTTCATATTATATCCTAATGTCAATATCTGCAAATTGAACATTATGCCTATTCTAATATATAAATGTGTAAGCATGTTAATATGCATTTTGGCTATGTTAAGCATTTAATATAAACAAAGTATTTACAGACAAGTTTTGAGGTATATTAATTAATAAAAACAGTAGAATATTATTTTAGTTCTATTTTTTCAAAGCCTTTACTTTGTAGTAATTGAGTATAGAATTTCTTTTCTCTATCTGATTTTTTAATGCCTTATGTTCTACTTTTCTTGTTCTAGAGCCTTGACACTCTAACTGATGAGACAGTTGGTAACTTGGATTTACTTCTGAAGTGGTTCACGGTGCGTTTTCTGGACACTAACCCCAGCATGCTGAATAAAGCCCTGGAGTATCTGAGAAAGGTGTTTACAATGCTGGTAGACATGGACTACAGTCTACACGAGTACGAAGCCTGCTCCTTCATACCTTATCTTATTATCAAGGTACAACTACACAGTTAGTATTGGCAGATTTCAGCAAGAAACTTTATCACTTACTAGTATTTCTTTTTCTCATCAAATGGTTATGCACCATGAGATTGATAGCTACAGCAAGGTATGCATGTGGTTTAATTATCTTACAGCAAGGTATTTTTGATCTACATATATTTCATACTTTGTACAATGTATAAAGTCTTTAAAGAATATTTTTACCTAAATTTTGTGTTTATAAGAAATTTCTGCTGTTTGTAGGTTGGAGATGCTAAAGATAATGTCAGAAAGGATGTGCGTGGAATTATCAAAATTCTATACAAACTTTATCCTGTCAGTAAAATGTTCACCTTCTTAATGGATGGCATCAAATCCAAAAATGCTAAGCAGAGGATGGGTAAGCTTGTTGTGTAAAGTTATCAAAATGATGGAAAAGAACGGGCGTCTAGATCATGTTATGTGATTGTAATGTATTGATTGGTACATGTACAGTGAAACTTGTATTAAGCAGTCACCTACAGGATCCATCAAAAGTGACCTTTATAGAGAGGTGACCTTTGAAAAGAGGTTCATCTTTTTAAAAAAGAATTTATTTACAATTTAATATGTATTTCACCACAAAATATACAAGAAAGTAAGGTATTGGACATTAGTGATCATCTCACTTAAATTATTTTTTTTTTTTATTTAGGAGATGCATTACTTTTATGGATGAATTCAAACTAAATTTTATGAATCCAAGAAAATTAATAAAATACCTGTATACTGAATCTTACAAACGAAGTTACCCTCGGCGTCGGCGTCGGCGTCGGTGTCGGCGTCGGCGTCCCGGGTTAAGGTTAAGTTTTTTGGAGCAGTTTTCTTTTTAAGTACTTCTATGGGTGTTGCCAAACTTGCATGGATGATACATCTAAGGATGCATACTACCGAGCTTGCTGCGGATGCTGAATCTGACCTACTTTTTCCGGTTGATTATCCCCCATCAAAACAATTTTTTTCTTTGTGTAAGGAATGAATAAAATCAGTTGAAAATTATTTTATCTGAACTTGATTCATAAAATAAACCTCTATACATATATTTTTTTTAAATACATGTACACAACTGTACATGATTTGTTGTATAATAAACTCTCAGACTTACTCTCAGTTGATCAACAGGTGCACAGGTGTCCTGAGCGATGAAGCGTTACTAATCCCTAACGGTCGTTTCCTTTGTGAAATTCACAACATACCCAAGCCACAATGTGTATATATTTACATCCACTGAATATTTTCTCCTTTCTTTCTTAAGAAAACCCATTGCGTTAATCACTGCATGAACTACATTAGGCATGTCGCCTGTACAGATTTCTTGATCAGTGGCTGTTCCATCAATGAAACGTATAAAGACGTTCACATCATTAATACAATAATTAATCTTTTTAATCCTACTTTAAATGATTATTTAAACAGATATAAATATAAACAATAAAATGTCTTTCTTTGTTTGTTATTACTGGAATTAACAGTCGCAGCTATTGCAGAAAAAATTTACATAACCCGCGCAAGCGAGTTATGTATTTTTTCTGTAACAGCTACTTCCGTTAATTCCAGTAATAACATACAAAGAAAGCATTTTATTGTTTAAATAAACTGTAATTATGGCTTCAACAAATGATACAAGTTTCCTAGGTGTGAAAATTAAAATGCCTATCAATTGTAATACATGCATTTACAACTTTCAGATCATGCAGAGTTGGCCGCGATATCGACACTGTAAATAGTAAACAAAAATATCATTGTCATTAATAGATTAATATAGTTCATATGTTGTTCTTTTTTAAACTTAATTAAAAATCCAGAAGTTATAAGACCCTGATAATCAGTTATCGATAACTAGTATTCAATTTTTTTTCCTGTTAAAGTTCTATTTTCGTCACGAGCATAGTTGTTCGAGTTTTGTAAAATATAGAAGCAGTTAGTTTGTAAAATGATTCTTGAATATGCTTATCCAGTAAAAAAATTGATCCATTTATCAATTTTTATTCACGATCCCACAACGCTTGACTGATTATTTACATTAGTAACAAAAATTGGGAATCAGCTGACTCCAGATCAGGTCACGTGATTGGACAAAATGGCTGCTAAAGACAGGGAAAAGTGGCGATTTTGTTTGAAATTAGGTGACCGCGTTACACAGGTGACCGCTAAATAGAGTTACTTTATATAGGAAATTTCATTGGGAGAAAATAAAATGACCGCATAGGACAAGTGACCGCTGGATAGAGGTGACCGCTATGACAAGTTTGACTGTATAGTACTGTACATTTAAGACGAGAACAAACATGTTCTCCATCTTGTCCACACAGGACACTTATATAAATGTTTCTCATTTAGCATATACACTTGTAACATACAGTCCAATGCGTAATTGTGTCTGGCCATAATTTACTAAGATGCTTGTTGATATCGTATAGCCGGTTATTTTGGCGGGGATATAATTTTGGTTATTTTGGCGATTTATAAAAATTCACCAAAATAAAAACCGCTAAATTTGTAGACTACACAGCTTGCGTTTGTAGACTTCCCCATTTTTGAATGATGGTTACGGCAAATCACCATTGAAGCCATCACCGGTAAAGAAATCAACAAACAGTTATAAATAAAGATATAATTATTCATACTATTGACATTATTTTGAATAAACAAAAAAAATTAGTTCTATAAGTTTATCTTTTTAAATTTGGATTTCATCACTGCCAAAGCTTTTACTCCAATCGACCCTCAAATAACTGTTATAAAAGTGACATGCTTGCTAAGCAATGGTTTCAAATCATCTGTCATTTAAAATGGCACACTCATGACCAATGAAGTTTATTCAACAATTAATGTTTTATACTACATGTACTTGCTATAATTAAATAACTGGTATCAATTAATACAATGTACATGTGTGTGAAAGTAATTGCGCTTGGGATGGTTTGTTTACGTAAACACAGACAGCGCTTGGAATGCAAATTGTCAGCAAAATGTCACAACATGCTTGGGGTGGTCAGGAAAAGAAATATTTACATACTTAAGCTTTGAACTTATATAATCAAATAACAATTAAAATACAACATAAAAATTAAGTAAACGTAGGTTATATAGAAACTGATTTAGCAAAAAAATAAATAAGTTCGTGTCCTACTTTCGTTTTTAAATTAATATAAATATTTTACTTCTTTAAAAATATTCTTCACATTATTTGTGCAGTTAAAATAAGAGCTACATCTGAATTTGCATATTTGGGGTGTGATTTATCAATAGTATCTGCGTATTTCAGAGGATTTCCCAACAACTTTTGCCAGTTTGGGAGGGTGTGCAATCGTAAAAAAAGTGCATTCTTAACCTGCGACTTTAAGGTAATAAATTTGAATTCACCAAAGTATTATCCACCAAAATTAATGGTTGTCTTAACAACCTAAAATCGCCAAATTTGTGTCCCTCCAAAAAGAAATACGGCTATACGGTAACTGTAGAACAGTAGTCTACTATGCCATGATGTGTTATGATCTACAAGTATGATCATGTTTAAAAGGTAAACAATGTAAATAACAGCTGATTTTTGCTTCCTTTTAGAATGCATAGAGGAGCTGGGGAACTTGATAGAGTCCTATGGTCTATCAGTGTGTCAGCCAAGTCCTAATGTGGCCTTAAAGAATATCACTGGTCAGATAGGTGATCGAGACAATGGAGTGAGGAACGCAGCCCTGAACGCAGCAGTGCAGGCTTACATGGTGGTGGGAGAGAACCAGTTCTATAAACTAACAGGAAATGTAAGAAACAGAAAAAAGAAACTGTGTACTATATATCTGAATGGCTATGAGTAATTTCTTAGTTAAAGAGACCAACTGCAGTTAAAAGAAGTGTTTTATGAAAACCAAATTAGAGATCCTAATGATAAATTTATGGCACACAGCTGAATGACAAAGACCAGAGTCTCCTGGATGAAAGAATCAAGAGATCACTGAAGAATAAACCTGCACCAAAGGCAAAGGAGGAAGAGAGACCCAAGACAGCACCAACCCAGCCCCAGAGGTCGGCCTCTCAGTAAGTAAAGAAAAATAATTCTCTCTCAATCTCAGAGGACTGGCTGTCCAAGAGTCATTAACTTTGTCTTGACCTTCTATTTCCAATTCTCAGCAAGGAGTCTTAACAGCCACTCATCCAACCTCAGAGATTTGTGCTAAGAAAATTTATCTCTTTATTAATTTTTTTTTGTGATTCATTATGCTTAGTAACAGGATCAAATTATTGTAATTTGTAGGACACAGATTCAAAGACCAACCACTGCTTTACCAAAGTCTGCCTCCTCGACTTCAATGAAGAAGACATTCCTCCCTGAGTTTGAGTATCAGAAGACTGAGATGGAGATGCCCAAGCTGTACCAGTATGATCTAGATGAGCTATTTAAACCACTGGAAATGCCTAAAATCAAGTAGGTAGTCTTGTCTTGAGAGAAGGATTTAAAAATGAAAAGCTGAAAAAAGTAGCTCTTTATGAAATTGTGATAGTAAAGTCACTGGGACCTGATATCCGTATGTTATATCCGTATAGAATTCGTTAAATTTATATAGCTTGGGATATTTCGTTATATCCGTATACATCTGTGTTATCTAAACTGAAGTCAACTGAAATGTTGTAAATAACACGCTATGTTCCTTGGAATATTCTACTTGTAGTTGTATACACTGGATATCTAACTGAAGTCAGAACAATCAGATTCATCATAGGATAAAAAAAAGACATTCATTTTTCTCTTTCATTGATTTCAACTTGTATGTACTTTGTAGTAGGGCTAGAGATCCCTCTCCAATGACACGAGTGAGTCCTGCGGACGCCTCAGCCACGATAGGCGTGGTCATCGCCCAGATCACAAGTACAGATGTCCTCACCTGTATTCAGGCACTGGCCCAGGTAAAAATAAAAAAAAAATTAGCATACCTTAAAAAATATATATTCTGTTGGCTTTATTTACTCTGTCCTATTACATGTTCTTTATTTTACAGATCGATGAATTATTGAAGGATGAGGAACACGCACGTCTTCTAGGCGACCATGTTGATCAGCTGATGCTGCACATTTCTATGCAGTTCAGGATGACTCTATCAACACACATGAACAATGAGGATGTTCCTAAGGAGGATGTTGTTAGACTATATAGATGTTTGCTAGGAACACTCCTGGCTGTAGGTTCTGTTTTCTGTATAGCTGTGTTACTCAGCTTACTCTCATCTCCTCAACTTTATTTTATGGCTTGTTGGTTTAAGCATATTTTAAATTATTATATTAATGAATATGATATTTGTTCTTGCCACAATAATATTTTGGAGTTCCTTTAGAAACACAAATTTTCGTTGGTATAAAATTTCATTGATTTGTCATCTTAAAAGGTTTTGTAGACATAAAAATTCTTTGTTTCGAAATTAAACCAATGCAAAATATAGTCGAATAAAAATTTTGTTTGGGATTTATTTTCTATGATAATTGTTAACAGCAAAATAAACAAAATTTAATCTCCCATGAATATTTCTGCTTCTACAGTACTTTTAGGGAATAACTATCTTCTAATTTGGTATTTGTGACTGTTAATGCTGATTTAACGGTTGCAAACTGAGTTTTAGCAGCATGTTATTCCCATTCTGATGCAACCCACGCATTTTGTTTGTTGTTTACGTCTTTTGTTGAGTTTCGTTATATGAAATACGTCACGGAGCAGTGTGTTTTTGCGTCGCTCTATTATGATGTCACAATGAAAATCTTTCACTCTCGTTAATGCTGGTTTTACTGCTTCAAACATCAGTGCATTAGCCAATCAAAACGTGTTATACAAAACAATTGCAGTAGAATGATTTATTTATGGATGATAATTTACAACAAATTAGAAAATACATCTGATCATTGAATAGTTTCCTGTTTCAATTGAAAAAAAGGAATAGAGCTTGTTTCCTGTTTGTTTTATGTACAAGTTCACTTACATGTTTAATCTGAAACATATTCTTTTATTTGATGTGTAGCTTACTCAGAATCCTTTCCTGGCCACAAAGACATCGAAGGAAATCCTGAAGGACCTGTTTAACAGCCTGATAACATTGTTACTGGACCAGCGTCTGAGTCTCCTCAATGACGGCCCCCAGGTGGTCAGGTCCGTTAACGTGATGATCGTAAAACTGATGGAGAAATCCGACTACACCAACACAATGTGTGCCCTCATCAAGTCATTACAGGACTGTGTGGCCACTGAAACCTTCTCTCCCAAGTTCTCAGAACTTGTCATGAAGGTGAGTCATCTGAAAAGCTCATGGTTTGGAAACAACACAAGTCACATGTTTTCCAATACAGCTACATTGCTGTTTGTTTGCATGATTGTATTTGGAAGATGATTAAAATGATTCCAGAGATTATCAATGATCTGGCAGTTGACAGGATCCTTCTAGAAACTCACCTATTCCTTAGAAACTTCCCAACCAGTACATGGAAGAGCAGACCTAGTGATTTACCTCTTATTAAAACAGTCCATGCTTTATGTGCTTTTTTGAAGGATGGTTACATACTTCCCATAATTCACATTAGTGTGAATTCTGTGTCATTGATATACTGTAGACATACTTTTTTCACAGTGTATGGACTGAAAATATTTGGAAGGAAAGGCATTCTTACATCTGATTTCTCGACAATACAATGCACTTCATGTTATTCAATTTTTTTTTATTAAATATATCACAGACATTGTTTTAAAATTGTGATGTTTAAAGCTTTTGATAGTATTCATTTAAAAAATGAAAAAAAAAAATACTGTTGGAATTATAAAATTTAATTTGATACTGAATTGATATCAGCCAACTCTTGACAGAAAATCTCATCTTGACTATAATTTTTTTTTTTTGCCTGGGAAGGGGGGAGGGCTACAGACCTAGTAAAAATATATGACATTTTTTAAAAATGGAAATTTTCATCATTTCATTAATTAATTGTGAAAGAAGTAATTAAAAAGTAATAAAAATTAGGTTTAAGACTTGACTTTATTTTAACAACTTGGAGACTCCAGGGTTTAATATGCAAGCTCGTGTAAATAAATTAATGTAATTAATCTACTAAGATAAATCTGTTTTCAAACCAATTTCTTTTTCACTCTATGTCAGTTTATGGTATAATGTACACATTTTTCAATTTTCATTAGGTAAAATTTGAAGCCATTCTTTACAATTTTCGGCATGTTTCCCTACTTTCGATTTAAAAAACGATCTAAATAGATCCATATTTTGTTGATAAAAATCTTTTAAACTTTATCCCCCTTGTTTAATCCAAATTATATTATTTCACACACTCCAGGCTAATTACCTAATCAGCTGTGTTCTGAAAGATTTCCTACATGTAGGTTTCAGTTTTCACACCTCTGCTGCATTAAATAAACAAGGGACTTATGGAAACTAATCAGCTCTACACAAATTTTGTACATGGTACATGTCATTTTCGCCACTTATGAATTTCTTTTCGCCACTTTTGAGCAATTGACAATGGCGAATCACAGTCGAGCACTGCCACGGGGTCATAATTCTTCTCAATTTCTGTTTAATCCGCACAATTCACATGCCTTACATTTATATTTAGTGTGAAAATTATTGTTCTGTGTTGTTGATATATTTAATTATTTTTGGCATAATTTGTAGATTCTTGGACAATTGAATTTAATAGATGCCTCTGAAAATTCAGAAGTCAAAATGTTTTTACAAAAAAGTTTGAAAAAGGATCCAAACTCGAGGAATGAAATGAATGGTACATCAGATGACACAGACTCAGGCAAGGTAAAGGCATAAACCTGTATTCATTTGCTTCAAGAATTTTTTTTTTTGCTCGTAAATTCAAAATAATAAAAAATTAAAAACCTGGAAAAAAAATTATAAGAGGTAACATATTGTCACTGCTGGATTTTATAAAACATTAATTAAGAACAAATAACTACAGTAGCTTTATTTTGTAGAGCCATCAGAAACCAAAGAAACTGAACAAGAGTACACATGATATGTTGGCAGAGATCTTTAAGAAAATAGGATCTAAGGAGAACACGATAGAGGTATGTTTATCAGGTACCGGTAAAAAGGATATGATGGTGAAAATGCTTCTTTTGATATGACGAATGTGATTTACCTGTAACAAATACATTATGTTATTAATTCCCCAGGGACTAAATAACCTGTATGACTTTAAGAAGAAGCACCCTGAGGCAGACTTGGACCCATTCCTGAAGATGTCCTCTCAGTACTTTCAGAATTATTACCGTCTAGCTAATGAACCTGCATTCTCATGCATATTAGTTCAAGTATTTTTTATCGATCCGACTATAGAGAGGGGTGTTAATTAAAAACATTTTAGAGCGGGAACGTGATTAATGTCGTTTACATGTAGTCCTTAAATCTAACTTTTATCATATATACCAAATATTTACATACTGTATGATGAAAATTACAACCCGTAAATATTCAGTATTCAGAGTGCAATTTTTTTAAAAAAAAAAAGACTTGTATGCAGAAATTCTAAATTATTCAAAATAGATTAATCTAAATTAGGAAACAAGGAATTTTAAAATAGATCATGTATTACTGAGTAGTTTATGCTACTTAAACCATTTGTTGAATGAAATTGACAAGATAATTGATGTTTAGGCATTGGGCCAACTGTACCTTCTGCAATATCGGCACCTTCAGCATCCTCTGATGATGGCTTGGATGTCAATTTCTACCTCGATAAGTTAAGGACAATTCGTGCCAAATGTGGACTCGAGAACACAGATGTATGTACTTTGATTTTGTATTTGTTTGCTTGACTGATACTACTGATATATTAACTGTGCTATCATTGCCAACTACTGTCAAACATGGCCAAGGTTAGATTGAAAATTGTTTTGTCTCATGCATATTCAAATAGCAAATATTCAAAATTCAAAAATCTGAAATGATAAAGTGAATAAATACTTTAAGTCGGTTTAATTCCATGGTGTCAAAAAGTTCTAATCATGATGGGTTTAATTTCATTAATTAAACACTAATTAAAAATTCGTATAAGCATTGAAACAATTTAAAAACTAACAAAAGCATTCACAGTTGGTTTTATTTTGCAGAAAAATGATAAATTGTGAACATAGCAAAATCAAATCTATCATGATTATCATGATTATTTGCCAATCAACAGTATAAAGCTTTTAAAAGAATGTCTTGGATTCACCCTTTTTAAATCTATTGGAAAACTTTGATCTTTTTTTTCCAGCCATCTAAACAAGAGAATGTAATGTCTAAGAAAGAAGACAAACCAGAAAAAGCTGAAAAAATAGCACTAGAAGAAAAAAATGAAACAGTTGAGGTAAGACTTGGTGTATTGTACTTTTCTATTTAACAGCAATTTCTCTAATCCTTTTGAATATAGTAAAACTCACTTAGTGCAAACACAGATATAGTGAATTCACGGATATAGCGAAGTTTTTTGGGGTCCCCAGCAAAATTCTTAACAAATCTTTGTAAAATTTTACGGTTATAACGAACTCTGATATAACGAATTTACGGATATAGCGAACTGATTTTGAGTTCCTTTGAGGTTAAATATAATGAAATTTACGTCTTTTATAACAAACTTTCAAAGATCTCAAAATTTGATAATTTGAACTGACTCTGATTTCTTTTATTATTTAAGGAATGAATTTAATAGCTACCCATTTTATACGGTATAAACTGGGTTGGGGCAGTTTATGCTTTATAAACCGCAAAGCGGTTTATAAAAAAGCGTAAACTGTTCCAACCTAGTTTATACCGTATAAAATGGGTAGCTATTAAATTCATTGCTTATAATTTAATTTTCATTCATTTGATGTAAAAAAAAAATTATTGTTGTAACAAAATGACTTCAATCTGTACAAAATTTGAATGTAACGTCAGGCGGATTAATACGTTTTTGACGCAAGTAATTGTGACATAGGACACCCATTTTATACGATATAAAGTAAATTTTTTATCCAATCAAATACAGCGTTACAACCAGAATTAAATTATTTGAATATAAAAACAATTATAATAAAACCTCAGTTATCAAAGGTATGTTTTGTAATATTTGCTTCATAAAACATATTTGGTAGTAATTCTTGAAGGAAAACAGGCATATTGAGAATTCGCTATAAATGGTTATACAAATTTGTTATACAGATATAACAAACTACGATATAGCGAATTAAATTCACAGGTCCCCAGGACTTCGCTATAACCGAGTTTTACTGTAATGTCTTTTAGTACTGTATACAGGGTTATTTTTGTCCCATGTTATTTTCACCCTTTCACACTTGCAAACAGTTTTGCCCTGTTTTTAATTCGCCCTAACTAATTAGTCAGTCCATCAGTCCTGTTTTTTTTTGTCAGCACAATTCCTCCTAAACCGCTGGCACACAATGAATGCTGCTATGAGTCCCTTGGGATTAATTAGCTTTCCTCCTGAAGAAAATCCAAAGCATTATCTTTATCTGTCACATAGAGATTAACTTTGCAAATGATATTTAGGACACAATGTGTAAATGTGCATATTTTTTATTTTTATTTTTTTCCTTTATATAAATTCAAGAATAATATTAATTTTTAAGGTAGTTGGATAAAAAAAACCATTCTAATATTATTACTGAAAAAGTTCTTAATAGAAGAATATGATGAATGAGGTACAATTAATCCTTTGGGATTAATTATCAGGAAATTCTGATTTTTATATAACCTTATATACATTCAGTGTTAGGTTGCTCTTTACTTGCCTAATGTAAATACATAAGGATATTATTTACAGGTTTTTGGATATTCAGGAATTATTTTTCTTCATATATTTTTTAATCATTCCGTAAGCTGCATCCTTATAATTCTACCCCATGGCGGGGCCCTTGCTGATTCAGTTTTCTGCAGTCCATCAGTTCTTCCTCCTTGGACACAATTTCGTCAAACTTTGCAGATATTTAGGACACAATGTGTAAATGTGCATATTTCCAGGAAATTCTGATTCCTTTATTTTTCCGGGAATTCCTGCACTTTTCAACTTAGATTTTTGGCCATATCTTGAATATAGAGATGAACAGTTTGTCAGCGCAACTTCTCATAAACCGCTGCACACAATTTCATCAAACTTTGCAGACATTTAGGACATAATGTGTAGATGTGCATAGTACCAGGAAATTCCGATTCCTTTATTTTTTCCAGGAATTTTAGCACTTCGACTTTTGGGGGAGCTTGGGGAATGTGAGCTTGCTCACTTTTTCTTTCATCTTTTCTTTGTGGGTAGGACAAAAAGGACCAAAATAAAATGTGGGCGAAAATTTCCCTGTATACTGTATTTATGAAGGAGTATGATATATGTTGTGCTTTTTGATTCTGTGTAATATTGTAGAAAAAAAATAACCTTGATGATAATTTGTGTGTTGTAGATAAGTGTTAAGCCAGTCCTGTCATCATCAGAGAATCGTGAGAACAATCCCCAGGCCGCTAGTGCCCCCTCGGCGCCCTCAGCAGATGTGTCAGAACTCAAACAGAGGCTAGAACGCATCAAAAAGCTAGCCAAAAGCTGAAACACCAATCAAAACTCAAATGTGTTCATTTCAAGTTATGATCAGGCTGTTCTTTTGGTGATACCTGAGTACATTGTATCTGAGCTGTGGAGAAACCATGTGGAAAGGCTGAGATAGAGAGGATCCAGTCTACTCATTTTGACACAACTTGTGAACAGCTTTCATCCATAAGTGCTTTATTCATGCCAACCTTAAAGTATTAAGATATTTATGGTGTTTTGTGCAAATGATTTTTTTGCCAATTATTATGTATATTATGTTAATGTGATTGTTGAACATCAAAATATTTTAATAGCTGAGTGTAGTGACTCTGAAAGCAAGCTTAACTTGTGTCACCAAAGGAGCAAAGCAGGAAATGCACTCTTTATCAATGGAGCTCTGAATGCAATGAATGTATAACCTTAAACCCACTTTAATGTTTCAAAACAGTCAGTACTGTTGGTATTTGATTTAAACTGTGATAGATAATGCCCTTGATACGTGTACATGTATGAATGGTTTTGATCTAATTTAAGTGAAAACCAAGCCTCATAATGAAACCTTTAATGTGTATTTTCTCCCCTTAATCTCCAACTGTAAGTATATTATAAAAGCAAGAGAGACTGAGTGAGATTGTTTTGTAAATTAACAAACAGTTAAGGTATGTATTGAAGTCTTGTTCCTCCTTGGTTTTATGCATTTTCTTGTTTTAAAGAATATGCAGTTTGCTTTATTTTAGACAACATTTTAAAATGTCATATCCTACAAAAGTGAATGAGTGCACTTAATTTCAAGTTAAACATTGAAATTTAGTCATATTTTGTATTAAATTATTCTAGCTTATAAAAATGTTTATTGTAATGGCTAAAATGTTGGAAGCTATTGAAGTCTTTTTTTTTTGTTAAAATGTGATACTTGTACTTTCTCACAATTTCTATTCTGTCCTTAGCTTTCACTTTCTCTCTGCCCTTACAAGTTAACATGTCAGAGAACCAAATTACTGCCCTAAAATGTCAGGGAACCAGATTACTGCCCTGATATGTCAGGGAACCAGATTACTGCCCTAACATGTCAGGGAACTGTGCTTGGTGATATGTGTTGTGCTTCCTTGTTTATGCCTTGTTATCTGTCTGATAACAATTTTATTTAGTTCAGTGTAAACATTTGGGTATCCATGTTCAAATTAATACAAAAAATAAATGGTAAAGTGTGACAGTAATTTTATTGTTATATATATAAAAGCATCATCAGGTGCTGCAAGATTGAAGTGTGATCTAGTCACCTCGGGGTAATGGTATGAGGCTTTGGAATTTCTTCATTAGGACATCAAGATGATGCTTAGTCCTATCAATATGGGAGCATTTCTGGTAGTGACAGATTGTAGTTTGTTCAGATGGTGATCAATGAGAATAATAATGGCCACAAAAAGGGATCTACTTGTTACATAGGATTACCACTTTGTAATATTACGTACTAGTATCTGAAAGTCCTCCATAAATCTAATCTTGTTGGTTTGTATAAATATCTATTTTGATTTTTTTGCCACAAACGAACAGGATATCAATTTATTGTAAACCAAGATTCTTTTTCCGTGTAAATATTTATCAGAAATAGAACAAGCTAGCTTTTTGAGTTTAATAAAATATATGGAGATAACGAACTGTATTAAAGATGTCCATAAAACAATGCAAAAAAAGAATGACCCTTTTCTTTCTAAAGTAAATTATTTGTACTATAAACGGTTTTAAATGACTTTTGGATTAATCCTTAAAACAAGAGATGTTTGTAATAAAATATATAATTTTTTCAGAGATAATGAAAAATGGTTCTTGTATCAGAACTTGACACAGGTATTCTTGTGATAAATCTGTATACTGAATTTCATTACAGTATGTGCTCCCTCTGCAAATAAAATGAACAGAAACTGCATATACGAGGGTTGTCCCGTAAAATCGTGGACAAGTCATCACTGCGTTCTGAAATTTTCACTATCATTTAGTAATATTTTAGTAATATACACAGCAAATTTCAGATAAATATATGCATAAATAAACATATTATGAGATTTTATGCCATGTATTTTTGGATTATAACGTCAAAGTGTCTAAAACAGCGTCCTTTTCTCTTTGCTGAAAATGAACAAACTTTAGGAATTTCATTGATACACATTCTTTAGTCTCCATAAACAGCTGAAGAACCAACTGGCACCCTCATGCGATCTTCTGAAGATTTATTAGTAAGTTACGGACACTATTCTCACCATCATTCAACTAATAATAATTTTTTTTGCTATTACATGTACATTAAGTTTGTCCGTATGTTTTGTACTCCCCAGGGGCTCGATCAAAAAAAAACTTCGCTATATTTCATTTATATACTTAAGATATGGTGAATTTTTATAATCTTTTTTCTTCTATGGTCATTTCAAGTCTCTAAAGGTGTCATTACAACATCGAAATAAAACTGAACTGTTCTCCGGTGCGCCGTAACGTCATAAAACGTCGCCATTTTTCTTGTGTTCTGTTTACACTCCCAAATCTGTGCCAAAAATTAACCAAATGCCTTAAAATTTTTACATTACAAAATTGATTGTGGAATTGAATTAGCTAATTTTAATCCAAATTTTATGTATTTAAAACTTTAATTTTGAATTCAAACTTGTGTATTCTTAAATAAAACCTGGTTTTTTGACAGAAACTGCACATTCATAATAAAATCTTTATTTTTGCATATTTTATCAAAAAAATTATCATGCACTTAAATATGACAAATAAACATTTACTGAAATTTTCAGCTTTGTGCGCCCATTACTTTTCGAGAAAAACGCTTTGTCCACGATTTTACGGGACAACCCTCGTACATGCACTCGAGTTTTCTATTGCAGGGGCATAACTCTCCAAAGTCAGAACTTGACCTAAATATTCTTAAAATAAAACTGTATACCAAATTTCATTTTAATATGTGCAACCTATGCAAAGAAAATGAACAGACACTGCAAATAATTACAAGCTAATTCAGAGAATTTGTGTCCCCCGCTTAGGGAAAAAGTAAACCATGCACAGTTAGGGGGTCGGGGAAGGGCGGGGTGTGTGTCGGATCCCCCTGACTGAATTTGTAGAATTATTAAATGTATACATGTATACTTAAGCGGATAAAATATACTAATATGGATAAAAGGATTTGATTGCTTATTCTTTATTATGTGTATAGAAGATTCTTTTTATATGGAATATTTATCACACTGTAATGATGATTTTATAAGTTCGTATAAGCCAGACCTCATAAATTTTCATTTTACATACTGAATACTATCATTTAGTAATAAAAAGTATATTTCGGAAAAAAAGAAAATGGATCGCCCGGGAATCGAACCCGGGACCTCTCACATAAGAAGCGAGAGATATACAACTACACCACGGAACCGCTTTACACTGGCAAGTATTATATGCAGAAATGTACATGTATATATTTACGTTCGATATTGTCAAAATTTTACACAATGCATGGTGTCTAATTTAACCTTTATTAAACAGTTCTAATAGATGTAATAAGAATATAAAGTCTGCCGAGAACCTGTTTTATACGTAATAAGCTAGTTCAGAGAATTCGTGTCCCCCGCTTAGGGAAAAAGTCGGATCCTCCTGACTGAATTATTAAATGTATTCATGTATACTGAAGCAAATAAAATACATGTATGTCAATATACATATATACAGGGTGTCCCAAAACATATGTTACACTTTTAATAATTTACAACTTTATTAAACCAAAAGCATTCACAAAGATATTTTGTCAACATGAAGTGTATTAGCATACATTTTATCTGACAAACTTTTGAGAAATTCTATAATAAATTAAGGTAATTTTGATGTCCTTATGAAGTCATCATATATTTTAATATGGAACTTTCATGTGAACAGCTGGTAGATTTTGTAAAACTTTACTATGGGTCTAAATCTTCTACTTTAGTCATTAGAACCTTGAGAAAACAACATCCTGTAACGACAATACTCAACAGAATACTAATTTACAAATTTGTGAAGGAATTTGAAGATAAGGACACCATTAATGACACATGATTTAATTCTGGTATTAGAAGACCAAGGGTGCCCGTACCATAGAGAACATTAATCACATTGATCGAGTTATTACTGAAACTTTACAAAAAATCTCTTAGACGGGTCCTGTATTAACAAGATATCACCTTTAATAAATCTAGTGTCCATAAAATACTCAAATTTAGATTAAAATTGATTCCTTACAAGATATGTGTAATGCAGCATTTGAAAGAGACAGAAATTAGAAGTCATTTTGGGTTTGCCCATTGGATTTTAATTAGACCCGACCCTGAAAAATTAACAGAAGCATGATTTTCCGATGAAACCCACTTCCACTTTAACAATGTGTTTAAAGAAAATCTTAAATTCTGTTGTTTGGTGAAATCCAGTTTTAAGGTGGAAAACCATCCAAACTGTTAGAATGTTACATTTAAGCTTGTTAAAAAAAACACATCAGAAATCCTGTTCAAACAATGTTAAATTCAAAGGGACGTCATTTGGAAGATGTTATAAAATGACATATGTTATTCTAAAGAAAAAATATTGATAATGAATAAGGAAACTGTGACACATGTTTGCTTAGCAAAAAATTATAACAATTTTATTATGTATTTTAAATTTCATTCATATAACTTGAGGCATAATTTTTTTTTATGTTTAAAAGTGTAACATATGTTTTGGGACACCCTGTAAATATTTGATTGCTTATTCTTTATTATGTGTATAGAAGATTATTTATCACACTGTAATGATGATTTTATGAGTTTGTACAAGCCAGACCTCATAATTTTTTTCATTTCACATGCTGAATACTATCATTTAGTACAAAAAAAAGTATTTCGAAAAAAAAAAAAAGAAAATGGATCGTCCGTGATTCGAAGCCGGAAGCCGAGATCTCACATGTGAAGCGAGAGACACACCAAAATTTTACACAATGCATCTAATTTAACCTTTATTAAACAGTTCTGATAGATGTAATAAGAATATAAAGTCCACCGAGAACCTGATTTTAAGTGTTTTATACGTAATAACTCTCCTCATGCCCCTGTGCTAAAAATAGCGACATGTAATACAATAAATACTAATAAAACAAACGGGGCGGGACATTTTGAGAGGGGTGAGAGAGGTCCTACGGAAGTTTGGTATAAAATTACATTGCAAAAGCTCAAAATCCTCTTGAAATATCGCCCGGAAAGGATAGTGTTACACACAGATATAATGTATAAATTTACGACCTTGAACTTTGACCTTTTGACCTCAAAATCAATAGGGGACTTCCTTAGGGAGTTGTTATGTAAAATTTGATTGCAAAAGCTCACAGGGTTCTCGAGATATCGCGCGGAAACGAAAGTTGTTATAACAGGGAGAATTTGCGAATTTATGACCTTGACCTTTGACCTTTTGACCTCAAAATCAATAGGGACAATACAATATTTGGCATAAATCGTCCTATATATAATAAATATAAGCATGATACAAATACCTTTCTTTTAATATTTATTTTACCATTTCCTATAGTGTTTTATTTCCGCCACAAGAATGAACTAGTACTTTTTTATCAGATTAAACCACCTGTTTTCGGTAACTTCAGCTAAATATCATATTACATAGTTATTGATCACCTCAGTCTTCATTTCTTACAGATTGATAGGAGCGTGCAATGACAAAAATTAAATGTATTTTTCAAAAAATCCACGGACCCTTTCACAAATTCGCTCTTTTACAATATTGCTAGAAGATTATGGAATACTATTTTTAGACCTGGGACATTATGGATTACTATTATGGCCTCAGACATTATGGAAACATATATAGAGATAACAAACAGTATTCAAGATCAAAAGTCCATATATCTATACAAAATAGGAGTAAAGCAAACACGGACCTCCAAAACATCAGAGGTGGGATCAGGTGCCATGGAGGAGTGAGCTACCCCTGCCGACCGGTAACACCCGCCGTGTACTCCTTGTCATGATGGGGAAATATCGGAAAAATCCGTCAACAATTGGGTATATAAATAATAGACTAACAATTAATATGAAAAACGTCAGTCAGCATTTGACTCAATGATACGTGTAGATTATATTTGCTGACAAGGTCGTTGTATCGACCATAGAACTTACGAAATGATAACTTTAAACGAGACCACTTGTCTCTAGAAACTCAAGTTCACAAGAAACTACTCTTGTTACATCAACTTATTTGCTGACCAGGTCATTGTGTCGACCATAGAATATGAAATAATGACTTTAGATGAGACTTGATATTTTTGTTTCATCAACTTTTTTGTCAATAATTTACCTCGTTTTAGAATTTTTTCATACGTAGAGCATGCTCTTGCGTATCGAATTAACTGAGATATATAAACTCCGTATGCAGGCTAGGTGATGAAGGTATAAAGAATAATATATATGAACTTATACGAGAAGAACTAAGTACTATTTGGATCTGGAACATTATGGACTACTATTTAGACCTCGGACATTATGGACTACTATTTCGACCTCGGACCTTATGGACTACTATTTAGACCTCGGACATTATGGACTACTATTTAGACCTCGGACATTATGGACCACTATTTAGACCTCAGACATTATGGACTACTATTTAGACCTCGGACCTTATGGACTACTATTTAGACCTCGGACCTTATGGACTACTATTTAGACCTCGGACCTTATGGACTACTATTTAGACCTCTGATATTATGGACTACTATTTGGACCTCGGACATTATGGACTACTATTTGGAGCTCGGACATTTTTTTCCGAGGGCTCTTCTCCACAGAAGTGATCCCTGGTGAGCTAGTGTTTTCAGATCCATGAAAATAATGATGGAGACAAAAGCGCAAAGGATGCCTGCACCTACGATCCCAATACCCTTTGCAGACATACGGTCGTCGTCGACGCTTGTTTTCCTCCGGCGATAGGAGGAAAGATCCTTCCAGTTGATGGACAGTTCCTTCTTTATTTCTTTGATTTTCTCCTGAAGTTGTGCCTCTGTCTGTATATTGATGTTTGGTTTGGGGTGTCTATGACATTTGCACTGTGTCGTAGTTGATGTTTCTGTAATCTTTTGTTTTTCAAGGGATTCTTCAAAGAATTTTTCTGTTAATTAATTTCAACCAAAAAAATGTAGTACACAGTTTTGCAATGTAAAAGTGAAATGAGATGATTAACATATTGTTATAAACGAGAATAAGCTGTATTTAAAGCAGAATTCGATTCAGATATTGCGTATTTTTGGTTACCGGAATGATCCATTGTTATGGACATAACATCTGATGAGGTCTCTTCCACAAAAATGGGATTTTCTTCCATTGTCGAATTTTGTCTGGTAGTATGAAGTTTTGAATTATGAGTATCAATATGCTTGCTTCTACATTCATCCACAGAAAAATAATGTGTTCTGTTCTGTAACAAAAAGAATTAAGAGTAAAAAATGGAAAAATTTAAAAAATGAATAAATAAGAATTTTAAAAGGGTAAAAAACGTGAAATTAAAAAGAAATGAACTAATAAATAAAAACAGAATGATAAACTTGGCCAAAACCTACACACTTGTATGAATATTATAAAATGATTTTTTTACCCTTCTACGTATGAACTTGTAGCCAACCATACTGAGCGAGGCGTCATTCATGTGTATATTTGTTCGAAATATGTACACCCCAAAAGAATGTCCATTTCCACATCCACTGCAGCCATTTTGTGCCAGTTTTATTGATGTTCCATTGTCATCAAACTCTGCTTTAAACCATCTGCTCGTAGTAGTCTTATTAAAAACTTGGTCTCCTGAAATCTTCGTAAAAGTATAGTTGAAACTTACTTCGTAGACAAAACCGAGTATCATCAATATGGTTTTATTTGACTTTTTCTTCCGCTGAGGAATGATTACAGAAGACAAATACTGATCAATGGCTGGTAACAGTAACAGCCCTTCCTGGCAGTCGTTTGGGTATTTAGTGTTTGGTTCAGATTTAGAAAAAGTCTGCATGATTGCAATAGGCTTGTCGGAGATAATTTTCTTATTAGGATTAATGGCAAAGTGGTGATGAGGAATTTCTCGGAATTCCCCTGCATCTTGATTATGCTTTCCATCAAGCGTTTCAATCGTGGTACAATTATAGTGAGATATAAACCTTAGTTTAGAAGGTGTTAGACCATCATTGGAGTACGTAAAGGGATAAAAAGAAAAACCGAAATATTCAACAGGAGGAACTTGTTCCATCGACATGATCGAGTCTTGTATCATACTTCCACAAAACACAACAACTGACTGACTGGCTCGCAATAAAAGTCCAGTGAAATCATCATGGCTTTCCAAAGACACATGGCTGAAGTTATCCTCGATCCTTAAAGTGATAGGACTGCCTGGCAGGGACAGGTAATCTACCGTGTCTTCGCCAACTGCGTGTTTGGAAGTATACACGGAGATATTGCCATGATTTTCATTCACTAATAGAATGGAAGTGTTATTCGACAATGTTACGATAGAACACACACAAAGACCATTTGCTGTCTTGCTACAGAAAGGCATCATTCTATATTCTTCACCGGCGACATCTAGTGGAAACACCAGGTATGACGCTGCTGACGTCGGTCCGTCGACAAATGCTGTGACGCTTACAGCATCCGAGGCTTTAATTCTGAGAACTGGAAACATCATCTTGTTCTTTCCAAATCGCTGTTGCAGACTGAATTGCTCAACAATTTTATGACTGATTTGGAAAGGAGACGTTAACACGGGATCTTTCTCATAAAAAACCGTCGCTGTTACGTTACTTTTTCCTACAGATGCCAGCAAAAGGTAAGCATCAAATTTTCTCAAATCAAGATTACGGAAAAAAGCCACCACGAAGTCCCTTCCAGTATGGTCACGTGTCTGAGCTACACATATAAATAGATAAATGATATCAAAATAATGAGCATCTGATTTGTATTTTAAAATTTTAAAAGCATATCGAAAACTACGTTAACTCATTCATGTCATACATGTAAACAAATGACTGAAAAGTCATTCTGTACATAAAATGGAAAAATGTCAATTTATCACAATTCCTTGTTACAATCTGTATAAATATGTCTTTCAAAACATACCTCTTGCCGTGGAATATAGGAATACAAGCGTAAGTAACGTACAAAAATACTCCATATTGAATAATGAAGCTGAGATTTCTGAGCCAAAAATCACTGCCTTTGAAATGTTTGTTTGTGTGAAATTAATCTTCAGGTGGGTCAACATATCGCGAAAATTGCTATGAATAATAGACTGGCTCCTACTAGTGTCTTTTTATTATTAATGAAAGCGATGGCTCTTAATAAATATTCGTTTGCTGAGGGATATCAATCAACTATAATTTTTTTTATCAGAATACGGTATTTTGTTAAAAACTTTCTATTATAAACATGTTTTGTTAAACTTTTAGTGCGTTAGTACAGTTACTGAGTTCCACAAATACTAAAGAACTATGTAACCTGAGTAAATTTTTTTGTATTTTTCTTATCAATTAAGAAATGGCGTTCTAAATAATCATTAACTGCTATTTATGGCACGCTAAATTCACAAAAATGAGATAAACCTAGTTTCACATTTGATAAACTAGGTTTATCGACTGTAAACTAAAGTTTACAAACCGTAAACTATAGTTAACGATTCGTTAAGTATAGTTAACGATTCGTTAAGTATAGTTTTCATCTGTAAAACTATATTTAACGGTTGTTAACCATAGTTTACGAATGATAATCTAAGTTTATCTGTCTGTAATAAGCGTTAACAATAGATTTTGTTGATAAACATAGATTCACGTTTGTAAACTATAGTTTACAATCGTAAACTATAGTTAAGACTTGTTAATCATAGTTTCACAAATCGTGAAACTATATTTATCAGATCGTTAACTATAGTTAACGGTTTGTAAACTATAGTTTACAAATCGTGAAACTGTATTTATCAGATAATCGATGTTTTGCAATCGCAAATGATTGTTTTCAGTGTTAAGTATAGTTTACGGTTCTGAAACATAGATTATCGCGTTAACTATAGTTTACAGATGTTAAATATAGATTAACGTTGTTAACTATAGTTTACAACCGATAAACCTAGTTTATCGATTGTGAAACTATGATTTGCTCATTTTTGTGAATTTGGCGTGCAATAGTTTGTGCAAATATTGTTATGTAATAACCACATGTATACTGTAAATAGCCTGTACAAATATTATGTATGAATATTATATACCTATGAGATGCAATGTCTCCGGTTCAAAAATAAAACACAAACATATTTTTTAATGGATATACAGGAATGCACAACAGACTCCTGCCATGTTTGGTGGAGAAAATGATTTTTTAAATTAAATAAAACAGCAAACTTTTAATTTATAATTAAAAAACAACAATCTAGTTTTTTTAATGATGTGATCAAGCGATTAGCTCGCGTGAGACATGATTCCGTAAATTCCAGTGCTCTATCCTTGCTCCACCCACTTCTCTTTCTCTAACTCCCGCTGAGCACGTGATTTTTAAAATTAATCACGCCTGATCTGAAAGCTTTATAAAGTTTATTTTTATAATTTTTTAAAATCATTTGTAGTTTTTTTCTTAGAATTGGAAATTTTAAATGCAAATATATGCATTTGGGCCAATAGAATATTGGATGTTTTTAAATTGATGTGTTATGGCTTTCTAAGTTTGCGCAGTCGGTCACGGAAAGCGCACGTGTTCGGACCAAAAATTTTCCTCCATAAAACGGAACTCTGGTGAGCAAGTGTTTTAAAATCCATAATGATAATGAAGGAGACAAAAGCGCATAGAATGAAGGCTCCAAGTAGTCCAATGCCTTTAGCGGATGATCGAGTATCATCTGCACTTATTTTCTTACGTCTGTAAGAGGAGAGATCATGTTTGTTTATAATGAGGGCTTTTTTAATTTTCTCGATTTTCTCCTTGATTTCCTCCTCTGTCTGAATGCTGGTTTCGGCTTTAGGCTTCGACTGACATGGTGGGCATACGTATTGAACATGTTGCAAGTTGGTGTGTTCAGTTGATGTTGTTCCTTGCGTGATTTTGTCAGAGGATGTGTCTAAAAATATATTTCAATAGATTTTTATTTTATAAAAATATGGCCCATTTTAACTTTGTTTACTACACTATACAGACCTGTATTTGTTTCGGTGCTTGTTTCTACGTTGTTATCCTCTGTGGTGCTTTCCTCGGTATAAGTCTGAGAAGCCTCTGTAGTAGAACTCTGTATATCTGGTGTAAGTGTTGTAATTTCAGTGTCTATTGGATCGTCAATCTCCTCGTCTTCTGTATTACTATAGGTTTCACTAGAATATCGACGATTATCATTCTACAACAAAGGAATCCTTTTAATAGAGAGAAAATGAAATAATCGGCAGTGTTATATACATGTAGTAACTAGATTTGTATAAATTTATTGCATTTTCTGACCTTTCTTTTGAAAAATTTGAAACCAACGACGCTGAACGAACCGTCGTTTCCGGCTGGCCGATACGTGTAGGCACTAAAAGTGTTTCCCTTTGTATATCCCTGCTGTGCGAGTTTTAACAGCCTGCCGTCGTTGTCAGACTCCCGCACGATGCCCCTACTGACAGTTTTTAGCGAAGTGTTTCCTCCTTGCGTCTGAAAATTATAATGGACATCAGAAACAAGTCCTACACGCATTTTGCTATTCGCAGATTTGTCTTTTCCCTGACGTCTTGGAATAACTACTGAGTTCAAATATCGTCCCAATGCGGGTATCAACAACAAACCTTCTTCATAATTGTTTGGATCTCTTCCACTGGGATTAGGACCAGAAAAGATTTGAATTAATGCTACTGGTTTATTAGCAGAAAAATTGAATGGAGAAGATTTATTCATTGAAAGTTCTAAAGTATCCCCGGCGTGTATTTTCCAACTATCTTCATAATCAACAGATATTGTTGTACAGTTATGGTGTGCTATGAATCTGAGTTTGGGTGTTGCCATAGCATTGTGATCAAAGGGAAACGAATAAAAGGACTGACCAAAGTAATCAATGGGAAGAATTTGTTCCATTGACATGGTAGCATCATCTTTTCTCCCACCACAGAATACAACTACTGGATTGTTGGCTTGCATTAAGAGTCCAGTAAAATCATCACGACTTTCCAGCGAAATATAGCTGTGTTTGTTTTCGTACATGAGGTTCCTTTTATCATTTGGCATCAACAGAGAGTCAATTGTTTCTTCGCCTACCGCATGTTGTTCTGTGTAGACAGATATGTTGCCATTATTTTTATTTTCAAGCATAATTGAGGTATTCTCCTTTAATGTTATAATGACGCAAATACATAAACCATCTACCGTTTTATTGCAGAAAGGCATCATTCTGTATACCTCACCGGCGACATTTTCAGGATACACAAGATAGGAGGCAGCTGAGTTTGGACCTTCCACGATTGCGGTGACTGTGACTGGATGAGATGCGTTAATCCGCAGAACCGGGAACGCCATCTGGTTTGGACCATACTGTTCCTGAAGACTTAACTTCTCTACGTTTCCCGGAGCGAGCTTGAGATTGGACGGTTTGAGGAAGGTGTGAGGATCGTATCTAACAATGGCTGTAACGTTCACGTTCTCGGGGTTTACGGATGCCATTAAGACGTAGGCGTCAAAATTTTTCAGGTTAAGGGCTTTAAAGAAAGCTACCACAAATTCTTTTCCTGTGTTATCAAATGTTTGGCCTGTACAGATAATTCAAAAATAAAAATTAAAGTCATTGTTTTAATTGAAATCATAATATTTTTGGATTAAATTAGTTGTTGCATATCTGACATTTAAACTTTTGTTTTCATCTACATTTACATCTACATTTTTCTGATATACAGAATGGTATTAAAAGTGAGAATGTTTGAATAAATTTACTATACCTGCTACAGCAGCGAGGAAACAAGCTGCCGTTTGCAAAAGACACGGATATTCCATATTGTATGACAGATTAAAACAGACTTGCAGCCTTTATAATGTAGTTTGTTTGCCTTCAAGACAAGACAAAATGTATTTAATCTGAAAACATTTGTTCCCGAGAATTTAATCTGTTGATTAAACATTTGGTTAAAAAAGTTTTAGACTGTGATTGTGATTTTTTGCTGTATGTTTATCAAAGTGGGAAACCCATGGGCAATATGTAAATTATCCACGGAAAACAATATAAGGGGGTATATCTAAAGTCCACCTTTGTCGGAACTTACCCCCTCTCTCATTTTCACACAATAAATGTATATATGCCATGAATAAAATCAGTACTTTTAGCGCGAAAATGGAATTTTCATGCATAAAATGAACTTTTCCACTGTATGTAATTGTTGTTAGAGAATTATTGTATGATTTTTATTGGAAACTTTTCTTTAGTAGATAATTATTTTAAACAATATTTGGGGATTTTATGCGATTTGATGTCTGTATCGTAATGTTTAATTAAATTTTTTTAATTAGTCCTATGCCTCTGGAGATGAACTTCTTCTTGCCTCTGGCATGGGTTGGTAATTGGATTGCGAAGAAATTACATTATAATATTCAAGTCCGTATTACTTTGCATCGAGCAAACAGTATTGGAAGGATCGATGGTTATACGAAAAACATTGTACAAATAGAACAATAGAACATTATCATTGACGTGCACATTTGTTATTATTGAATAAGTACAGATCTGTGCCAAAAGTTAAGATAATTTTATTTTTTTCTCTATTTTTTTCATTGAAAATAACATTTTGTAAAATCACAGGCAAATGGTCAATTTCTGTCCAATTAATTTCTTTTATTTATTTCATTACTTAAGCAAGAAAATGTCACTCAACTCTTTTTAAAAAAGATTATTACTTATTTAGTTTGCAGTAATAGTTCATCACTTAACATCAGTTCTAATATTCGAGATCAATGTTTAATTTTAATATTCATTGTGAGTATGTGACTTTAATGTTCATGTCTTAAATTAGTCAAAAATATCGTTGCTGATCAGATAAAAACTTGTTTTTATCAACCACAATTTCTTGGATTATGAAGAAATTTGTGGTGAAATTTGTCAAGAATTGTTGTTTGTTTGTTTCTTTACTCTTAGACCATACAATGGTATATAAGGTACATGAACATATTTACATACATTCAAAAATACAAAGTCAAGTAAGGAAGAGTAGTGTCAAATAAGAAAATTACTGATGAAAGCAGGCCAATATCTTTTTAGCAAAACAAAGACAGCTTTAACATCGAGTCATTTGTGATGGACATAATTTTCTCAAACTTACAATTATTTACAGAACTTCTTATCAATAAGTTTTACACGTAAAAACGAAAAATATGGACATTCCATTACATAATGAAATTCATCGCCCAAAGTAATTTTGTTATATAAATTACATTTTCTTAAGGACAGATGATACAAACAAAAAATGGATGTCTGGATTGGTATATATTTTTTGGTCTTATTTCATTGAAAATGATGTAAAAAATAAATTTCTAGAATATAAAGAATTTGTAAACCTTCTATGATGTTCAAAATTCTACCTCTCTGAAACCATCCTTATTAATCTATACAAATATTTTTCACTTCAAATCCCATTTTTGTGAGAATTTGAATAAAAATTCAAAAACTACGCGGTTAAACTTATTCATTTTACTCATTAAAGCATGACTCAAGTTGTAATTTTCAAATTTATTGACAAAAGTTTGTTTGTATCATCTGTCCTTAAAGATCTGGCAGTATTAGTCCATCTACCAGCTTCGATTGGAAGTTTGTGGTTACAAGTTCATGGTTTGCAAAAGCTCAAAATCCTCTTGAAATATCGCCCGAAAACGATAGTGTTACACACAAACAGAATGTATACATTTATGACCTTGAAGTTTGACCTTTTTACCTCAAAATCAATAGGGGTCTTCCTTAAGCCACAGGGAGTTGCTTTGTAAAATTTCATTGCAAAAGCTCAAAGGGTTCTTGAGATATCGCGCAGAAACGAAAGTGTTATAACAAGACAGAATTTGCAAATTTATGACCTTGACCTTTGACCTTGTGAGCTCAAAATCAATAGGGGTCTTCTTTAGTCCATAGGGAGTTGCTATGCAAAATTTCATTGCAAAAGCTCAAAGGGTTCTCGAGATATCGTGTGGAAACGAAAGCGTTACAAACAGACAGAAAGACGAACGGACGGACGGACAGACCCAAATTAATATCCCCCACTTTTCAAGCGCGGGACAAAAACGTATATATAGTTTGAAGTATATCAACATTTGAATTAAGAAACGGCCACTATGCTCCATAAAATATTCCTGAAAGTGAGCACTGTAAATACATCTTAAAAAGTAGTACGATTATACAGTGTATATATATTTATTCTAATATTCATTATATGAATTTTGTTTCTTGTACATGTATTTTATTCAACAGAAGATTAAACTCAATAGCCCTCATCTTATATCATTATAGGATATTAATGACACTTTATAGCTGACTTTCTACAGCTTGATTATCTCTGACATCAGTATATACTTGTTCTATTTATAAATATGTAATTGATATATTGATATATCTAACGTTATTATTTTTTTAATGCATTTTCAATATTAAGTTAAAAATGATCATTTGTAAGCCATCATTTTTAACTTCAGATTGATTATCAATAAATGACCTAATGGACCAGGATTAAACATTTTAGATTAGGATTTAGACTGTGAGAGATTAATAAAAAGATTAAAATGTATTTCATTGATAGACAGGGGACAGAAAATGATATAAATATGCTTTTGAAAAAATAGGAATAAAAGAAGTTGATTAATTTATTCCTAATTTTATTTTCCCAAGTACTTTACATTTTTTTCGACTTGACCATGCATTAGTCTATCACAGTCGTACTTCTTGAGAAGGCTGGGTGGTTGTGGCAAGTTTTAGACGATGTTGATCTCCTTTAAAGCTCCATATAGGTATATGAAAAAATGATCACATTTTTAAATCTAAAATGTACGAATTTCTTCTTTGTCAAATGACAGCATAAGTACGAAAGCCTATTAGGATCAATCTAGAGAGAAAAAAAATTAAAAGGCGTTATAACGCCTTTCTACAAGGCGTTATTACGCCTTTCCATTCCAAAAGGCATTATTACGCCTTTTTAAAAGGCGTTATAACGCCTTTCTAAAAGGCGTAATTACGCCTTTCCATTCTAAAAGGCGTTATTACGCCTTTCCAAAAGGCGTTATTATGCCTTTTTAAAAGGCGTTATTACGCCTTTCCAAAAGGTGTTATTACGCCTTTCTAAAGGGCGTTATTACGTTTTTCCATAAGGCGTTATTACGCCTTTCCAAAAGGCGTTATTACGCCTTTCTAAAAGGTGTTATTACGCCTTTCTAAAAGGCGTTATTACGCCTTTCCAAAAGGCGTAATAACGCCTTTCCAAAAGGCGTTATTACGCCTTTCTAAAAGGCGTTATTATGCCTTTCCAAAAGGCGTTATTACACCTTTTTAAAAGGCGTTATAACGCCTTTCTAAATGGCGTTATTATGCCTTTCTAAAAGGCATTATTACGCCTTTCCAAAAGGGTTGTTACGTTTTTTTAATAACTATTATTTTGCATCTAACAGGCCTGTGCTTGTAAAGCCTCCCCCCCCACCACCACCCCCACTCTACTGGCCAAACTCCTGGGTGACTTCTTGGTAAAACTTTGTTTAAATGCAATAATTTGCCACAGTTTTACACACTGCAACAAAATGTTCAGGAACCAAGCAACCAACAGTTAATTATAATATTTAAACTGTAGCAAGACTTTGTGTGTATGTGTGGAGGGGGGGCGGTTTACCCCATTTGCACTCGTACTACTGGCCTACTTGAAAAGGAAAATGGAAAGGCGTTATTTTTATGTTAATAAATATATGAAAGATTTAATTAAAACAATCTTTATTTAAACAATTCTCTATATTCCTGCACATCTCACTGACAACTGTTTGCATTCGTATTAAGAGAAGGCAACACTCTACTTGTGAAGATATTTTTCTCTCTTCTTGGAAAAAAAGCAGGCAGACTATTTGCTATCTGTTAAAATTATTTTTTGAGAAATTAGTCCTATATCAAATTGTGAAATCCATGTCCCAAAGGTAAGATTTCTGCAAACCCCCCCCCCCACCACTCGCTTTAGTCATATATTGAAAATAAAAGACGTAATAACACCTTTTGGAAAGGCGTAATAACGCCTTTCCAAAAGGCATAATAACGCCTTTTGGAAAGGCGTAATTTAACGCCTTTTAGAATGGAAAGGCGTAATAACACCTTTTAGAAAGGCGTTATAACGCCCTTTAAAAAGGCGAAATAAAGCCTTTTGGAATGGAAAGGCGTTATTACGCCTTTTTTCGCGTTATTACACCTTTTTGAAAGGCGTAAGAACGCCTTTTAATTTTTTTTTTCTCTCTTGATTGATCCTAATAGGCTTTCGTACATAAGATACCACATCAAAATATGGATATTATATGATGGATGATTTGTTACCCCCCCCCCCCTACCCAGCCTCCTTTGGAAAAAGTATTTTTCCAAAATGATATAGTGTCTGGCAATTTGTTTGTCTCCTTTCTAAAGTTAAATCGATTCTGTAATATACATACATTTATTTTTAGTTTTTAGATATACATGTATATTGATTTCTCATGTAAGAGAAACTTAATTCATTTTAAATTAAAGATTGGGACATTTTAGGTCAACAAAAATTAATGTGTACGATAAGTACATGGATATTTACTGCAAGAAAATGTTTCGTAATGATAATCTGAACAAATGATATATCTATATAAATATATTTATTATATCTCTGCAAATTTTTACTTTATACAAAGAAATTACATAAAACTGACTTCATACTGCGGAATAGGTTTTGTGCTATTTCTTCATCGAGAAATAGTCATAAAGCTATTCACCGGCAAATTTCCTCACGTTTCATCTCGAAGCTCTTCTGGTTTTATCAGATCGTGACTGACATAAGTAAAATATGTTTCGATAAAAATAAAAAAAAATAAATCACCTATTTACAGGTTATGAAGACAAAAGCAAGTTTATTGTCCCCCCTTAACAGTGACTATTTCCTTCGGCGCTGTATTGAGCAGCACCAAAAATTGCTATCGTTTACATAACAAGTAAACATATGTGTAAAATATATATCTTTTTCTATGAAGAAATATCTATTCACGGTTCCCCCCGTAGACAACCACGCATATTCCTCCACAAGACAACTGCCTGATGGGCCAGGGTGGGGAAGTCCATTATCACAATGAGGGATACGATGGAACAGAGGATGCTGGCGCCTACAATCCCAATACCCTTAGCAGAAATCCGCTCATCGCCTGCACTTGTCTTACTCCGGCGGTAGGACGATAGATCGTTCTTCCTGATCTTGAGGTCTTTCTTGATTTCTAAGATCTTCTCCTGGAGCTCTTCCTCTGTCGTTTGGGGGTAACTGGGAGTTGGCTTTGGTTGACATGGACATCTTGAGCATTGATATATCGTTGACTCTGATGTAATTGTTGTTTGTCTAGTTTCTATTTCGGTGAAATCTAAGTCTAAGAAAAAAACATGATTGTTCATTGTCCATATTGTGTAAAGTTGTATATATATTGATGTTTCCTATATATCATCGTATCTCGAAAGCAAAGAATCCATGAAATGACGTTCGAGTCACTACGCAATATACCCATGGCATTCGACATATTGCGTGATAAGATCAAGCATATACTGTGATGTTGTGTATTATATACCTAGAAGTAGTTTAAATGTTCATACCATAAGATTCTGTATTTGTTGACTTGGTTTCAGCTGTAGATGATGGTGTCGACTCGAGAGAGCTTAGAGTCACATTTGCGGTTAGCTTTGGTGCCGGTGCTTCAGACGTATTGTGAGTAAAACTATCCTCTTCTTTATGTCCACAAGGCCTTGTAAGGTGCTGGAGATTTTCACTCTGCAATTAGACTGATTATTCATTAACTGTGTTTTTAAAATTACAGCTTTCATGAATTTGTTCTCTCCTTAATCACGAGATAACAGTTTTACAAACGTTCATTAATTTTTGGGCCACCTTACTTTTGATACCAATTCATTTTTTGCTTAATGAGTCTTGTATTGCTTAATCTGTCATATGAAATCCAGAGCATTGTAAATTAAAAAAAACTTTTCTACATTAAAGAAATAATCTCCAATAAAATACACTAAGGAGTTTACCTCTCTAGATATAAAATTATATCCAATTGTACTAAATGAAGCCTCGTTGCCGTGAACATTTGTTCGAAATGCGTACCCTCCAAAACCACCCTTACATATTTTACAGTCGTAATCCCGTGTTAGATTAATCGCCACTCCATTATCATCGTACTCCACGATAATTCCACTGCTCAAAGTTTTCTTAAGGATACCATGGTCTCCGGAAAAAGTCTGCAGAGTATAGCACACATCAGTGATCAGTCCCACGAACATTTTCATTTTCTTTGCTCTGTTCAATCTGTTTCGTCGAGGGATAATCAGAGTCGACACATACTGGTCAATGGCAGGCAGCAGTAACATCCCTTCATGATAACTAGGGTACCGACTGTTAGGAACGTTACCGGAGAAGATCTGCATAATTGCAATGGGTTTGTCGGAAGAAATATGGCTGGTAACAACCTTTTTAGTAGAAATCTCCTGAATTTCCCCGGCATCTAGCCAGTAGTGACCCTGCACCGTTGTTATATTAGTACAGTTATAATGGGCGACGAATCGGAGATTTGACGGGGCCATAGAGTTATACGCAATAGGAAATGTATAGAAATATTTACCGAAGTAATCAACCGGTGGTATTTGTTCCATAGACATGGTCGCATCCTGTTTTCTTCCTCCGCAGAAGACAACAACAGAACTGTTGGCTCGCAACAAAAGTCCCGTGAAATCGTCTGGGCTCTCCAAGGACACGTGACTGTAAATTTCTTTGACAAGAAAAGGGGTTCTAGTGTGTGGTAGGGACAAGTGATCAACTGTGTTCCTTCCCACGGCATGTTCGGGGGTAAAGACCGATATGTTGCCGTGGTTTTCATTCTCTAAGATTACCATGGTATTCTTTTTTAAGCTTACAATTGAACAAACACATATACTTTCTTCTGAATTTTGGCAGAAAGGCATCATTCTGTATTCTTCGCCAGCAACATCTAGCGGAAAGACAAGATATGACGCTGCTGATGATGGTCCATCAAAGAAAGCCGTGATGCTAACCGGATGTGACGCAATTATTCTAAGAACAGGAAACAGCATGTTAATTTCCCCATTATGTTCTTTCAAAGCAATTTGCTTCACAGTTCCTGGACTTACTTGAAGAGATGCGAATTTGTTCCTTTCTTGCTCGTAAATGACGTTTACTGTAACATTTACGTCAAGCACTCCAGTAACAATGAGAAAAGCGTCAAATCTGGACAAGTCTAGATTTCTGAAGAACGCCGCAACAAACTGTTCTCCAGTGTTGTCAATACTTTTTGCTAAAACGAAATGGAAACTCATCATGCCACAGAATAGTTATTATTTAAAGAGAAGGGATTTTTTTTTCTCTGTTTGATATAGTTGCCAGGTTATGGATATATTTTCTATCTTCTAAAAATAAAAATACGTTATTCACGATAGTTTTACATTGCCTAAAATTAAAATGTATTTAAAGGTTTGAAGGAAATGTAAGGTTAACAAAACTTTGTTTTATATTGTTATTTTACTGTTATTGATAAAGAAAAAGATTCAATTAATGCCAAATGTATTGTTTATTGTTTTATTTCTCAATATTTTTTAAGCTTAATATAAATACATGTAACTTGAAAACAAGTGAAACTAGAGGTACTGTGAGCAATGAGCTCACTAAATGATACCCCCGCCTCCCATATGAATATAATGGCAGTGTCCATGTTTTGCTCTGGAAAATCCAAAATATATGTCAGATCAAAAAGTAAAATAGGAGGTGCACAATGGCAATATGTAACGAAGATTCTGTGAAAGTTTCATTAAATTTCCTTCAGTGGTATGAGAGGAGTTGCGGATAAGAGATGGGTACCCCAAAGCGTAACAGACGGACGGACGGACGGACAGACGGAAATACCGATTACTATATACCCTCCCACTTTTCAAGCGGGGGGTATAATGAATAAATAACTTATTGAGGTCAGTTCAATTGTATTAAGCAGAGCTATGAGTAAATGTAAATTATTTTTGTCTTTGGTAGTCCTAAACATAGGTACTTAAAATTAGGAGTTAATGTCTTCCAAGTTAATAATTTTTTTAATTTATTCATACCTATAAAAGCATTGTTTAATGATCTCATACCTGTTTTAGCAGTAATGCTGAAAGAAATCACCTGGAAGAGTGTAAGGAAGTCCATGTTGAATCAAATGTCCATGCTGATTCCAGATATTATTGTCTACAGAAGGATGCGTCTCAGACGTCAAGGCATCTCATCAAGTTATGTTTGTTCGTATGAAATTAATCAACAGAATAAACGTTTTATGGAAATGAATTACTAATTGATTCACTCCATGTTGTGGATAAAGATTTGAAAATTATATATTTCTTACCACAGAAGGGAAAAAGTCCCTAATGCATGCAAGTGTCATAGTGTAAATTTTGAATTTAATGCATGTGTCATGATGTAAAATTTGAAACTAATGCAAGAGTCATATTGGTCATGTTATAAATTTAAAATTCACCGAGTGGCGGTAAGTACAAAATTTTGCCGGGTTTCAAATATTTTTATTTACTCCAAACTTGTAAATTAAAATTTTACAGTGAGACACATTAATTGAAATTAAATACCGGTACAAATGTTTGAGACGTATTGTTTTAGTATTATAATAATTGTTATAAAATAAGTTTTATAGAAAAACTATTTTACAACAATATTTAAGACATATTGTTTAAATAGTCTACGGCTTTAACAATCAAAAAGCTGTAAGTTCAATTATTGTTGCTATGTTAGGTAAATAGGGAAGCATTAAAAGTAAATTTAAAATTCAGAAAAATATTTATTAAAGTTATGAATGCTTATTCTTTAATATTTACCACAAACCTTTAGATCATCTTTATAGTGGACTGACAAACTTTTAAAGAAATACAATTTTCATGCCTTTAGCTTTTCAGTTCAATGCAAGCGATTTAAAGGTTTGTGGTAATAATTTAAAAAGCATTTTTAACTAATCAAAATATCTAGATTTAAATTTCTGTTAATAAGTCTATGTTTCAATAAATTTCAATATACCGGTACTGCAGAAATGCTTTTTTTTTTTTTTTAAACCTTTAATTTATTAAATTAATACGCTGAGACACATTCAACATTTTCCTCGGAAATTTCAAGTGCATTTAAAGTATATTGATTTTTGACAATTTAAGACATCCTCATAAATTTTAACTGAAATTTTAATAAGCTACCTGCATCAAAATTCCTTGAGGAAAATAATACTGGTATTTGATTAATTTGGTCTCTTGTGTGATCTAAAGCGAAGGTTATGTCGAAGATTTTAATTAAGATTTAGATATTTGTTCATTAGGCTCTGTCCTTTCCTCCATTGATATATTTTTTCTTTGGGTTGTCCTCCTTTCTGCAAATTGTTTGTGAACATGAGCAATGAACTTTAATTGTCAAAAGAATGCATAGGTCCAAACGTAATTCCCTAAATTCTATTCACACCAACAAAAGTATTAATTATCTTTAAGAGCCTTGACCATGCTTACATATGTACAATAATTATTATGTAAACAATAAGATACCATTATAGTATTGGAATTAAAGTTGTGTCTGTAAAAAAAATACCTAATCCGCATGAGCAAGCCAAAAAGGAAAATATTTTTGTTTACCAGTATTTTCAATTTTTCATGTCTGTATAAATGATAACCTAAAGTGGGTAGGTAGGTAAGATATTGTTCCATTGGCATGTTTATCACTGTAAGTTTCATTGATTGAAAAGTACACTGCATAAGAATCTAAAAAATGAAGTATGGATATAAACAGTAAATTCTAACTCAAAAGTCAGTTGACACAATTAAATCGGAAAGAGAGCAAACGTATTGACCTCTAAAACATCAGACATGCCATAGAGGAGTAAGCATCCCCTGTCGATCAGTTACAACCATAGTTTGCTCCTGGACGAACATGTTGACAAAACATGGATATTAACAGTCTCGTCATCATTTGCATGTTTCATGGCTAAAAACCATCCCCTGTCCTCACTGTCCGAGACTATTCCGTGCGAGGATCGGACTGACCAGTCAAATTCTCATTTTTACCCTCAGCTACATGCAGTATTTATATTAAAGTATGGTGTTCGTTTTCTTGGGGTGAAAATTGTCAATTTGACCGTCAACTACATGCAGTATTTATATAATAGTATAGTGTTCCTTTTCTTTGGATGAAAATTTTCAATTTTACCCTCAATTACATGCAGTAATTATTATATAAAAGTATGGTTCGTTAATTGAGAGAAAAGTTTGAAACTTCAAGTGCCTGTGGCTCAATGTCAAACATATTTTTGCCAAGGAAGGTCTTATGAAGAAATCCACAATGTATATAATATATGAACCATTCAAAAGAATGCTAATGAATAAAGTTTGGTAAAATTTAAAAGTGGGTCAATCTCCAAAGTCAAGTTGTAAAAATGTTGAAACCCAAGTCATGTGGTTTATTTCAAGATCTTCTTTTAAAAGCCTTTAAACCATGGCCACATATCTTGAGCTAAGGCGTTATATTTCATAATAAGTGAATTCCTTATGACAAGGCCTTCCATTGGTTACTAACAATTTTGCCTAGAGGTTTCATCTACTTTTTGAAGAACTATAACCTTGACTACATTTTTGAATGGATGTTGCATTACTAAGTACACATATTTTACAGATTTATATCTTATTTCCTTTCTTTGGGTCTAAGAATTTTTTGAATTTTTGAATGGATGTTGCATTATTCATATTTTACTGATTTATATCTTATGTCCTTTCTTTGGGTCTAAGATTTTTTTTGAATTTTTGAATGGATGTTGCATTACTCATATTTTACAGATTTATATCTTATGTCCTTTCTTTGGGTCTGAGAATTTTATCTGCATTTGTAAAGTTTAACCTCTGCCAAGAGTTGCCTCACGAGGGCACCACTGTTTCACAGATACAGCACATCTTGATACTATACTTTTGAATTGAATTTTTTTCCCGTTATGAGGATTACATGTAGTTCTGTTCTGAAACCTTAATTTGGGTCACCGGAATAATATTAAAAGTTACTCTGTAATTATATAAAAAGAAATTCAAAAGCTTCTGACCAAGTATGAATATTTCTGTTTTTATATTTTTAATAATATTTCTTACACGCTTTTTCCTATAATTGCCATTTCCTTGTGAAAACTTTCTAAAATCCTGTTTTCAAACTTGAAAATGAACTAAGAGATTATGCAATATACAAACCGACCTATGTATAATACTGTATTAAAATTTTAAAGTACTTGCAGAAAAATGGGAAAGTGTGGCTTCAAAAAAGAAATCCATCTTTTACTTGCTTTCTGTGTAAACGAAGAAAATTGCATTTAAAATAGGTTACATGTATCTAGAGTAGGCTTGCTCATTGTAAGCAAAAAGCTGTTGCATGGCTGGTTCTTAAATATAAAGAAGGGTTTCTTACAGCTAGAAATTGTTATTTTAAAAAGAATAGGAAAAAATAATTCCAAAAACTTGTTCAAATATATTGTTTATTACGTAAAATCCATAATATATGAATTTACAGTACTATGCACACGACAGCACAAGATAAATGTCTTCTTTGTACTTTATTGGAAATATATAGCATTTTCTGAACACATTAAACGAATATCAATATTATTTATAATCAATCTCATCGAGCCCGATGTTTATTCGTATAGTATTATGTAGTAGGGCTAAAAACTGGAGGGCCATACCTCAGAAACTAGAGATGGTATCATCACCATTTTTTCATAGAAGTGGTAACTGGCCCTAGTACCCCACCCTCAAAATTTCAGACCCCGGGGTAGGGGACTTCAATGTCATCGAGCCCGATGTTTATTCGTCTAGTATTATATTTTGCGAATTGCGAAGTGAGAACTGCTTCCTGCTAATGTGAAAAGAAAAGAGAATAATAAAATATTCGTCTAGTATTATATAGTAGAGCTAAAAACTGGAGGGCCACATCTCGGAAACCAGAGATGGTACCATCACCTTATTTTCATAGAAGTGGTAACTGGCCCCTAGTACCCCATCCTCAAAATTTCAGACCCCAAAACGTATGTTAAATTTTTGAATTGCGAACTGCGTTCTAGAGAGCAGTTCACTTTTGAATTGCGAAGTGAGAACTGCGTCCGCCTTCCTGCTAATGTGAAAAGAAAAGAGAATAATAAAATGATGAGACGGAATGATAGAAAATTCACAAAACAAATAGTTTATATCCCTGTGATTTCATGAAGGGGTTTTATAACAATGATAAAGAAAGCAAAACAGTGCTCAACATCTGCTGGTAAGACTACTAAACTAGTATACATGCCCTTGCAAGTATACAAGTTTTACTTCAACGGATCATTTTCAAACTACTCTTTCAATGTATTAGTTGAAATTTTCAACTGAAGAAAATCATAATTATGTTTCAAGCAGAGCAGGAACCAATGATTAAGAGCCATTCTCTGTAATGATTTGAAATTTTATATATGAGCTGTGGCATGCATAGTCTCAGAATTTCTCCAAACTCTCTATGATAAAAGTCATTGATACCCTAAACTGAAATCAGGCAAAAATTGGTTGCTATGTTTTGTAGTTACCATGGCAACATGTCTTAAAGTTAAAAAAATGGCATTTTTAAACATGTTTAGAGCCCCATAGTTAACATTTGCAGCAAAGCAAACAATTGGCAATGACTGTTTCCAAACGTTGAAGGTCAGATGTCTCAAATGCATGATAAACATGTTTGGTAAATCAATTATTACATACGTTACTATGGTAACAAAGTATTCAAAAGTAAAAAAAAAATATTCATTGACTTTTATACAGTCATACACAAAAAAATAAAAAGCAATTATAGGATGAAATGTGACCAAATAATAGAAAAAAAAGAGTCTTGAAACATATACCAAGAACAAAATATGATATTTCATTTTGGTTGGCAATGGTTGCCAAGGTTATTATACCACAGGGAGCCTTCAAAGTAACACTCTGTATGTTTAAATCTGATGGTATCTTTAAAAAAAAAGCAGATTTCCTCATAACTAATGATAAATTTTATAAGATGTTGGTGTGCTCCAAGTTTTCCCATTTGAAAAAATTCAGATTAGATTCTTTAAATAGAGCGTTGCTATGGAAATAAGCAGAAAAAATATGCTTAAAAATCTGAAAAATATTTTCTTTCCTTGGATACGTACCCTTAAATGTGAAAAACTTTTATGATTGATATTTATTAACAGCTAACTTGACTTTTAATTTTGACTATCATCCAATTTCTAAGTGGATGCAAGAAGTTGGCACACAGGGTTTAATATTGATATAAAGGTCACAAAATCTTACATTTTCCCTTCTTGGTAACCATAGCAACAGTGTTGTTTCATTCATCAAATTTTATCAATATATGATATTCAACTTTCATATTCAAGCTGAGTCCTTTAATTTTTTTCTTGATTAGATGGCAATTTAATTCTTAAAACAGCAAAAAATAATTCACTTTTAAGCACTTGTACTTTGTTTCCATGGTTACACTGCAAAGTAGCAATTATACCCAATTTTTCTTATGGTTTTGGTGTTGCAAGGTCCTAAGGAAGCATATTTGCCAGTCTTGAATTTTCATGTTTTTCCTCAAGACAGTAGCATTAACGCAATCTTAGTTACTGGTTTTGCATGGTTACACTTTGTTACCATGGCAACCATAAAAGTTATTTATAGAATAATATTGCTTATACTTATATACTGAAGGTCAAACATTTTCATTGTTTTTCTTAAGTCATTGATTGAGTGCAATATTTCAGCATTTTAAATGTATTCCATATGTACCCTTGGTTACCACTTACTTAGAGATATATTCTAAACAGATTCTTTACAGTATAAGTGACATCAAGGTTCAGAATGGTTTGTTTGCTCCTTCTAGTTTTTATTAAGCTACAGTAAGATTTAGGGTGGCTGAAAATTTTCCATAGCAACTGAGACAAATTTTGTTTATATTTGTTTCTGGTGTCAAGTACTAAGCAAAATTTCATCAAAATCGGACCACCAATGATTTAATGGTTACTGAGAATGGCTCTTAATGAGTAGATATTTGAAACACAATATAAAATGAAGTATAACAAAAATTACTTAAAATATTTAAAACATTGGTTACAACCGATTTGAATATTAAAGCTGTCGTGCCAGTAATCAAGGAAACATAACCCATCAACCGATTGCAAAATGCTTCAATACCCGTAATATTAGTTACATAGTCTTTTAGTGACTGGGTATGGGATGATACCTGGTTAGTAAATTTCATACCTGGCGAGGCGGAGCCGAGTCAGGTATGAAATTTACTAACCAGGTATCATCCCATACCCAGTCACTAAAAGACTATGTAACGAATTTACCCCACCGATGAAACATTTATCTGTACTTTATTAATGGTTTTCTCTGCTAAATGCTTCATCACGCTTATACTGTGCCTATTATGACGTCACGTTTGTGTTTGTGACGTAATACATCGACCGGGTATAAATCCACCGCCTTCACGTGACAGACTTCAACCAATCGTGCCAGGATTTCCAAAAAATCAACAGGATTTTCACGTGAAAAAATCGCACGCCAGGATTTCACGGAAAAATCTACAGAGGTGGGGTAAAATAGTTATACTATACTGATCAACTGCGCAGTTAATCACTACTTTTGTCAAAACTCCAAAAAGGGAATTGAAATTTGGATATCATAAAGCTTATATCTATATAAATGTTGCTGTAAACTATTTAGAGATTGGAAGAATCCAATTTTTTCCCATTAAATGCTGCCTCTGCTGTTCCGGTAAAATAATTCCTTGGGATTGCAATCATATTTCCTTCTGCAACTGAAATAAATAAAACTTTATTTAAAAACAAAAACACCAGAAAATATTTATGGCTATGAAACTGTTATTTATTCATGAGAGAGAGAGAGAGTTAAAAGAGAGATTACGAAATATTATAAACATAATTATGTCCTTTTTAATTATATAATTAGAAAGCGTTTGGGTCAATACTTTTTTCCCAGTAATAGGGCATAAAATATTAACAGATCAAATCATGAACACCTCCCACCAATTTGCAAACCCGTTGATTGCTTCACATTTAACAATATAGATCTTTTATAATCTGTTATTTCCACCATTACAGAATACATACGCAATTTGTGAGTAGCTTCCTCGTTCGATATTGTTCCTTTGTATGGAGAGAAAAGGAATTTGTACAACAGGCTAGCTATGCAGCCTCCAAGAATAGGCCCTACCCAGTACACCTAAAACAGAAATTAAATAAATGTTTTTATATGTATATATAAAAATGAAGTTCTGTAATTTACAAGCATCTATTAATGGGTCCTAAGAAAATAAACTAAGAACATGCTTTAGTCAACATTTTGTTTTCTTTGACGTATTTTCTAAAAAAGATTGAAAGTGGGTGAAAACCTTTTACTTTGGTCAAAACTTTTAAATGAGAAAAAGATTTTCTTTCAAATAAACATTGGCTGTAACAAGACTAGTACTTTTTTTCGAATGTTTTATGAGAAGATGGGCGTATTTGGCGTCATCTTCGCTAGCCAAGTGTCCGATTCGTAAGGTGGAGATGAGGGAAACGAATCGGACACTTGGCTAGTGAAGATGATTTGGCGTGTGATCTGCAGGCATCATTTTGTACGAAACATTAATGGTTTAAGGGTACTTACCACAAACAAAAAATGGATGCGCGGGTTGATATATATTTTTTGACTGATTTTGATTTGTATTGATATAAATAATAAATCCCTGAAATATAAAGAAATCGTAGGTTTTCCTTGGTGTTTAGCCATACAAAATTTTGTACAATTTTTTAACTTTATGACAAAATCTTATAAAATTCATTATTCAGGTTGTCAATTTAAATGTAACATTAATGGTTTAAATTTGTGTTATTTATCCTTAAATGTTCATGATTTGGTTGGCTGAACATAGCTGGTCAGATTTTACAAATACAACCATAGGATTTTTTTAAATTAAGTTTGAAAGACCGTCAGATTTAATGTAACATTTATGACCGTTTTTTTCCTAGGAGGTACAATAACATAGTAATGTTTCACAAAAAATAAACACCTTCAAGATTAAAGGCATAGATAATTTAGTGTACATTTTCATCATAGAATAGAAGATTGGAATTAATTTTGCTAGAGAACAAAACTGAACCAAAATTTATCTAATTCAAAATTTAAATACATCAGTACATAAAATGAATCTGATTAAATAAATAGTTGTTTGCATGAAAAAAAAATATTAATGCTCCATGCGAGGTTCGAACCAAAAACGTTTCACCTGTAGTACACTGAACATGTAGCTTATATTACTGCGCTACCACCGCTACACTTACACCTTTGAATTTAAAAAGACAAAGAACACCACATTTACACAGTTCGGTTTTTTTTTTTTTTGGAAAAAGTTCATTTTTATGGTCTCTGGGTCTTCTCTCCATTTTGTACAAATGTATATTCGTTTCTTTGAATTACAATGCACACAAATAACGTTTCAAAATCATGGAGAGAAGACCCAAAGATAGAATTTTTTTAGAAAAAAGTGTTTTAAAATGTACCATTTTGTACCAAATGTCTGATCTAGCCAATTTTCTAGCTATTTTTTAGCAAATCAAAATTCACTTTCGGAATAGAATAAATGTTATAATTTCAGGTGACATGTCAATTAAATTTTCACTTTACGCCCAGATTCCTGCCGAATGCCAATTAAAAGCGCCCTCGTTCTTTTTGACCTTTTGAGGTTTAACCTTCTTTTTAAATAATGAACCTTGGTCGAAGCCTTTGCAAGTCCACCATCTATGTTAAGGCTTTCCGAATATACAAATTGTATGATTATTTATCTAATAATCAGGGCCTTTTGCACTAGATGCATATGCATTACCTGTGACAATGCTTTTTTTCTTAATAGAGAGTGATTTTCATGACCTAGACCTCGAAGTTTGACTTTCGAAAACTTTGAACAAAGAGAGCATTTATATCATATGTACTTCTAAAATAAAAGACACATGTCTCAGAACATATACAAAACAGTTAGAAAACCATTATACCTTGGAAGAAGGTCTTGTTATATATAACAACCGGTCAATGTAAAGCACTAGAAAAGCTTCAGTTTTAAAGAAGCTGTTTAAAGCCATATATGGCGTATGTACAATGAAAATTATTGGACTAAAATTATAAGAACTTATTATTTGTATCATTACTTTATATAAAGATAGAATTTTTCCGTAATTTACAAAATCTAAATCAATTGCGTTATTTCCATATCACAATTTGATTTGGATTTTATTTAAGAAAATAAAAAAGATTTAAATAACACATTACAGAGAAGATAAAATCGTATTATGCGATGAAACGATGTGTTCTCCGTGTTCAGAATTATATGAAAAGCTTTGATTTAAATGTATCAACTATATTTCTTTACTTAATTTTGTATTTTTCAAAAATATATATTTTTGATCAGTTACGCCATATATGGCTTTAAAATGCATCTTTCCATGAACTGCCAATAATAAATATATCAGTTATATTTAAAACTTAATTTAATTAAATTCAGAAAAATGTGGAGTAGTCAAATGTAACTACGAGGGGTGATCAAAAAGTTCGTGAACTACCTCTATATTTACAAGACCACAACTCAGATCAGAATGAAATTTGGCACACATAGAGTCAAACACATGTTCTATAAATAGCATATGTGGGGAAAAATGTGTTTTAGTTAAGCAATTCAATATGAAAGGTCGCCAACTTACAATAAGAAAAATAGTTAAATATCTTGTCAATAATATAATCATAAAATCCCTAAAATATTGTTTAATTTAGACCTCAAACATATCAGATATGACAAAGAGGAAGCACCCATACTTTATCCACATTAAATAAAGGACGCTCCCAAGACAGAGGACTCGGGTTATAATGGTCACCATGCTCATTCTGGAAAAGGATATCCTTATCCACCCATGCTATATTGTCGAAATTTGTCCATTTCTGACAAATGAACTGTGTTTGTTATCAAAAATAACTTGCATGGTAAGAGAACTATGAGTCGGAAAAATCATTTAAGTCTAGCTTATCTGACAGAACGCTATGGAGCATGTCATTTGACCGTCTAGATCACGTGATTCGCGCATGGACAGAATGGTTGCAGATGCGTGTTAAAATCGGAGAAGACTAGATTTTAAAAAAAAAGAATTCAACAGTAAAACCCTATATCATTATTTTTATGGAAGTTATTCAATTAGTTGGCGAACTTTTTGGTCACCCCTCGTACTAAGTATAATGTATAAATGCGTATGTACTGTAATAGTATCATATGGTCCCCTAGAATAGAAATAATTATCACAGACCGTCTATAGACTTTACCCAATGTGTGTCGTAATCGTTGGAGGCCACAGCACTCCCTAGAGATCGGGCAGGGTTCATACTGGACCCCGTCAAGGTAATCTGTAAAGAAAAAAAATTCCAAGAAATCTAGATTGTCTGTCGAGCTATAGCTTCATATTTAAAAGTGCTAGCAATTGCATTTCTGAAAAAAAAACAAATAGTTTCTCGACGGGAGAAAAAAAAACAAAAAAATATTGTAAACATATTTACAGACATAAATAAATTGTAGTGTTTCGTGGTCAATAAGATGGTCTCTGATTAGAAAAAAAATGTCTAGATGCCTTTTTCACATAAGAATGTTTTTATTACCACAAAATACGCAATTAGATTGTTGTCAGAGAGGAAATCAGGCCTATTGTCCAGTCCTGCTATGACCACGGATTCATTGTGCAAGAAAGGGGCCAGTGTTCTCTATATTCATCATTATTAACAGCAATTACAGGATATAGAAATACTCCAGCTCTTGATTAACAATCTTACTTAATTCAAATAGGCGTACACTCATGTCTTTATTATCTGTAAATTTTATGTACACCTTATTAGTTTGTAAGGAGATGTGGGAAGAGGGACGAGTTTCATTCAAAATTAAAGTTAATACAGTTTGCAACCATCTAGAAAAATGAAATAAAAAAAACATTTAAAGATCTAAATGTATTTTTAATACATATGACCAACCTAGTCCTGGTGGCAACTAAAAATGCATATGCCAGGCCATACTTACGGAAGAAAAATGCAGCATTGCTACCGTGAGCCCAATTTTCAAAGAAACACTACCAAAATCTGTTCTGTTTCCGTCTGTTGTCGCAATAATAACAAAGACAAGACAAAATGTTAAAATCAGCTCAATGGCAACTCCTTGTAAAAGAGTGTAGCTATCGGAGACTTTGGTCACTCCAAGATTAGAATGGAATGCACCTGGTGTCACTCTGAAATCAAATTTTCTTATATAAAACATTTACCAAACATTCGAAAAATCATACTTTGGAAAGATGTGTTTATGACTGTTGATCAAGGTGAAATAGAAAAATCATATTTTGGAAAGATGTGTTTATGACTGTTGATCAGGTGAAACCAATTCACTTAATTTCGGTTTATAAATGTGTCATGAATTGATGAAAAGTTTTATCATGTTGTAAATTTTGCATTTACTGCCACCCAGTAAAATCAAAATTTACAACATGGCACATGTATGTTTCACTTACTCATACAGAATAAGCAAGATTATAGGTAATATATTGTTAAATAGTAATTCTTTACCCTCTCAGAATCATTCCTCCCACAATGGCTCCAATGGTTTGAGCAATTGTGTAAAACAAAGCGCGAAAAATAGTGATCTGAAAACTCGCCAAAAATCCCAAAGAAACCGCAGGGTTGAAATGTCCGCCGGAAATGTGACCAAACATTTGAATAAGGGCCATAATCGCCAGTCCAAATGCAAGCGCTATCTGTAAAAAAAAAAATCATCTGCAAATCAGGAAATTCATTAGTTAACTGTCGAGATAATCTTGATAAAATGTCAGTTATGTGCAGGGGAACACTGATAGTTTTCATTCAAAATATTTGTTTGTAAAGAAGAAAATGTATCTCAGGTGCTTCTTGTTGCCCTCGGACCTCTTGTTATATTATTTTGACGCAATGCCATACATTTTTAAGACTATGAGTATAAACTAACCATGCTAATGTAACAAATTATCACCAGCACTGATGTCACAACAATATGGTGTTTTGTTAACATTCCATTCACCGTGATTTCAAACAGAAAAAATACATTCTTGTTTATGTAAACATTGAAATTATTGTCATTTAAACATCGAGGGGTCGGTAAGTAACCTGGATATTTTGACAAACTAGAGGAAACTCCGTATACCTGGAGTTCGTGGTAAAGAGCGTTAAATTACATATTAACCACTATGTATGCTTGTTCCTATAATGAAGTGAGGATAATTTGTCTTCAGTCTGCAGGATTAGAGGAACAACGTACTTTGTGAATGTTGACCACGTCAATCTGTTTTATAAACGATTTTCCCCAAAGATGGAGAGGGTTAAAGCTGAAATATATCTTCAGCCAAAAAAAAAGGAATATATTCTGTCGTGTTCATAAGCTTTATTAAATGCCCAGACATATATAAAGCTTAAAAGAAGACATTTTTGAAAGTGCGACATACTAGTGCTTCAGGGAGGGCTGTAAGATAAAAAAGAACCCAAACACACAGAAAATCAACAGTATTTGAGTTATCATAGTGAAATATGTCGATCGTAAAGTTTTCAGGTAATGCTACAACAAATATTGCATTACGAATTTTTGACTAAATATCTTAGATCCACACAGATATGAAATCTACGTGTGAAAAGATGCGCAATAGATTGGAGCGGTGGTACATGTATATCCGATTTATCCTCAACAAATGTTCAACTCACACACGTTATAATTTCAACGGATTGTATCTGAAATGTGTAGAAGGTCTAAAAAAAATTTATATTCTGAATCTATTCTATCTTTATTCCACTATGAAAAACTACCTAAGCAAATAATTCTTGGCATTATTATTTAAAGGGCATTTATCACAATAAAAAAAATATGCAAACTGGTTTATGATAACTTGATAAATAATCTATACGAAAAACACGTGAATGTTGGATTTATTTGGTTTTCTGATTTTCAAATGATAATTCTTTATAGGTAGAAAAATTTTATATTACATTTATTTCAAAAGTATCTGTAATATTGTGTGTGTGAGAGAGAGAGAGAGATTTCTACTCACTCTGACGGGATTTATGGGGTCAGTTAATGTGGAAGCACATCCTAGGAAGACAAATAACATAGTCCCTACGAACTCTGCCAACACCGCTCTCCAAAACTTCCAGGTTTTCAGTTCACGGATGGAGTAAACCTTTTCCTCCACATCTTTTCCAAATCTAGCTTCAGTTACTGCTTGTGAAACGTGCATAAAATAGCCCTCCATTTCTCACTTTCGCAAAATTCTGCAAATATATAACGCCGGATAATTTTCAGGTGAGGAAAAAAGTATCTACGATGAAAACAAATAAAAATCCAGTTTCCACTTTTAAAGATATTCAAATACTTTATTACGTATATGTAGGTGTTACTAGCAACTACTGGTGCTCTTTTATAGAATAAATAAATCTTCGATAGACGATTACGTATATGACATGTGATAATACAGTTAGTTTAACAAACTGCACTTTCACGAGGGGGCGTTACCCAACATACACTCATGTTTATGCAAAAGAAAATTTACCATATGTAGTATTTAACATTAACACAAGTTTATTAATGCTACCTCAAAACATGTATACAAATCCACCTTTTCTTACTTTATTTGAATTTTACTTCATGCATTAATTCTAATTGCAGTTTTTAACGTCTTAGAACATAGAGAGTTGTTTTTACATTCGCCAAGTATATATTTCTTTAAAATTTATTTATTTTTATTACCTCTTGCATATATTAAATGGAGTACTTAGTTTCGTTAGGAATCTTTCAAGACATAAAGTTCTTTCATATAGTGTATATTGTTCATTTTAAATGTTCCAGAGTCGATGTGCATCTACAATTCAGCTTCTCATTATATATGAAAACAAAACTCTCAAAACTTAAGATGTTTTCGAAACTCTTTGGAGCCCCACTTCCTGTCATTGCAATTAACCACATGGTATTTCCAGTTTAAATTAATTGTCTTTAGCTTTTTTTCCTCTTCATAATAATATACTTAGAACAAAAATCCCATATACATGAAATTCTTCTGCTTCTTTTTTTTTATTAAGATATTAATTGGATGAAGTGGATAAAGGACTTGTCATTGTTAAATTTTCTAATGAGGTATAAGTAATTTTTCATTCCTTCATAAATACACTGTACATCATTTCGAATGCCAGTCATTCAGCGGCATTGCTTTGTAAAGTACATATGTGCTTTTATCATTCATTTTCTATAGCCATAAAGTTACATATTAACCCTATTTATAGATTTAAAAGGTGAACCTGCAACGGTTTAAAAAGAGAAGAGTTTGCACCTTTCAACACAGATATCTCGCAAGCTTTACTCTCTCCAGAGTACACGAAGTACACACTTTGTCATCTCCCGGCTAAACAGACCGTGTGGTAATAAAATAAGAGGCCCCTCGCAACAACGCTCAGCTGAGTTCTTGGGGGGGGGGGGGGGGTGTAGTTCTTGAGAAGAAGATTTTTTAAAGACCAAATCCTTTTTTGTACCAACTTCGGTAAAAATTGGCCTTGTTATTCTTTTAAAGAAGAAGTTGAAAACGTGACTTAATCTTTCAGCTCAGGTGAGCTAATAAATAATTTTAAAAAAGGTGCAAATTGAGTACCACTTAAAAATATCTACGGTATATAAAAATTTGAATGTTTTGTACATGTAAACAAGTACTTCACATATCGATAAATAAGGATACAATTTATACAAAACCTTGTTTGACAATTCATCGTTTTTCTAATCGACCTTTTTGGAATATGCGTGATTATACGAGGGGTGATCAAAAAGTTCGCAAACTATCTCTATATCTACAAAACCACAATTCAGATTAGAATGAAATTCGGTACACACATAGCCATATACAAGGTCTATAAATAGCATATGCTGAATAAAGTTTCTCTCCTTGTTTGTGACGTCACAATGTGAAAATGACGTCACTATTTAGGTCACTTGTGACGAAAAATGGTTGTCTCAGTCGAACTCGTTCAACAAACGACTGTACAATTTATTGTAATATCTTAGAAATCCCTCTACAGTATCATATAATAATTTGTACACAGTTTATTGAGATAAATGAGTTCCTATAAATTTAATTAATGATTGGATTAATCGTTTTAGTGAAGGAAGGCTGATGGTTAAAAATGATGCTTGTCATCTTGCCCAGTGAAAGCAAGTTTGAAAAGATATGTATTTTTAATTAAGCAATTTACTATCAAAGACCTCTAATTAGCACTTTGAAAAATAGTTGAATATTTGAACAATGATATAAGTATTAAATACCTAAGATATCGTTTACTTTAGATTTTAAACATATTAGATATGATAAAAAGGATGCACCCATTCTCTATCCACCCTGAATAAAAAGGTCTCTCCTGAGACAGAAGATTTGTGTTTTAATGGTCGCCATGCTTATTTTTGGAAAGGATGTTATTATCCACCCATTCTGTTGCCGAGATATGACCATTTCTGACAAATTAACTGCTCTTGTCATAAAAATTAACTCACATGGAAAGATATATAAAACTCGGAAAAATCTTTTAACTTTTGTGACAGAACGCTACGGAGGGGGTCACGTGACCGCCAATATCACGTGATTCGCGCATGCGCAGAACGGTGGTTGATGTGCATTAAAATCGGGGAGGATTAATTTAAAATATAATCAACATTAAAACCAAATATTGTTTCTTGTATGGAAGTTATTCAATTAGTTTGCGAACTTTTTGATCACCCCTCGTAGTATGTACTAACCCTCCCCAGATAATTTCCAAATTCCTTTCAGACTCATGCATAAACAATTCAGTAGCTTATCAGTCATATTTTAAAGAGTAAGTACATTTTTTTCAAAGCCTGGCAATTACAGAGTAAGATTTTGACCTCTGTCCATCTGGCATATCGGATATCTTATGATCTTATATGGTGTCTGCACTCTGCAGCATTTTTCTTTCAAGTTCAATGGACTTTTTCAGTTGCATGACCGGTGGAACAAAGTAATATCCTCTACTTAAATTTTTCATATTGCATTCAATATTACATATTAAAAAAAACATTTAAATCAAGTTTAATTAAGAGCTTATCTGGACGCAAAAAACCAAGAGGACCACTGAAAGTGAAATTAAAGAGCAATTATTAAAAAGATTTTTAAAAATGCCCTACAAGTTGTTGCACTTAAAATTGAATAGATCGGTCTCAGTTGTAACAAAATGCTTAAAAAAATGTCCGATTTAATTTGTTGCTTTTTAAGGGTATATTAATCCAGTAAGATGAAAAGATAGAAGAGAGAGGATCAGACCTCTAGTTCCCGAGACACTGTAAACTGTGTAACACGATACAAAGGAGGGGCCCAACAGAAGGAGGAAAACAATTCCTCAGCAACAATACCATAATTAACTCAATCTCCAGCTATACGACTGTACCTGTGGAGAGAAAATGGCATTTTCGAATTAAGGAAAGCTTTCCTCATCGATTGAGTGACAAAAAGCCGATTAAAGCTTTTTGTGTTAGTCTTTACTAATATAAATATCGCGTGATTCTGGATAAATTCTCACCACTCCTTGTCTTTTCAAGTATAATCTGGTTATCATTTATCAACTGGTGTACATTTCAAATGTAACAAATCGTTCAATTTCAAGTCACACAAATCAAAACTTACCGGCGGGCCACTGACCTTTTTTACGATTGTAGTTAGATAAATGTTATATAATTTAGTCATAAATTTATTCTTTTGTACTTCATATGTAAATTTTTTTTTTCATTTTGTAACGATCCACACCCCAAACCCTTTCCAATGAAATTTAGCATAGCAACTCCCTGCCATTTTGCAAATACATAAATAAGCAAATTCTGTCTGTTAAAACACTGGATAATTAAAAGTTTAAAAAAAACACTTATTTCCGGGCGAATTTCATGGGTGATCAAAAACTGTATTTTTAGCGCAGGGGCATGAGGAGAGTTATTGCGTTTAATAAAGGCTAAATAAATCAAACACCATGGATTGTGTAAAATAATTGAATATATACATGTAAAAATATACTTCCCTCCATGTAAAGCGACTCCGTGGTCGAATAAAAGTAGAGGTCGCTTTCTCGGTCGAACCTTCTTTTTTTTTTTTTTTTAAATACTTTTTTTTTTAAAAAAATAAATTATTCAGCAATTTAAATGAAAAATATATTAGGTTATAAAATCAACATTACAGTGTGATAAATATTCCATATAAAAAAAAAATCTCCACATAATAAAGAATTTTTATATGCATATTAACATACATGTATTTTATTTCCACCATGTTCTTTTAATAATTCTCATTCAGCGCGAATCACGTGAATTTGTAACGATCCACACCCCAAATTTCCCTGCCATGCAAATACACTGTTGTCACAAAAACTGTGAACTAATTGAATTACTTTCAAAAAATAAAATAAAATAAGGCTTTAATGTTCATCATTTTTAAATTAGCGCTTTTCTGCTCATGCGCGAATCACGTGATCCAGGTTGTCACGTGACATGCTCCTTAGCGCTTTTCTGACTCGTAGACTCGTATAAATATTTCTTACCATATGTGCCAAATTGCATTCTGATCTGAATTGTGGTTCTGTAAATATAAAGATAGTTCGCGAACTTTTTTTCTTTACAAATGAAGATCAATCTCCAAGGCCAAGACCAAGATTTAAAAAAAAATGGTAACCGAAGAAAGGGTTCATTCACATGGAATACTAAGATTAAAGCCCTAGCACGAACCATTTTAAAGTAATGGTCAATGACAAAGGTTTTCAAAAAAAGGCATACTCCAATGTCAAGGTAATTGGGTCCAAAATGTTGGCCCTGCCTGGGGGAAATGTTATGTCACCAGAAAATATATTTTAGTGAAATATGATAGCCCAAGCTCTAACTGTTTTCAAGTTACAGGAAAAGTGTTGGAACCGAAAAGGAAGGTCTTGTCACAAGAAGTATACAGGTGTTATATGAAAGCCATAGGACCTTCTGTTCAAAAGTTATGCCAAAAGTTAAAAGTTTTTTTTCAAAAGTAGTTCAAATCCAAATGCCACTGTCAAAAGATCAAATATATTTAAAGCAAATCTAAAGAAAGGTCCGCTCATATGAAATACAAGTTTCAAAAATAAAGAACAAATACCTCTGTTTGTGCAAAACTCAAAGCAAGGTTAAAGCTTGGTGAAATGTTGCAAAAGCAGTTTAAAATTTAAGATCAAGGTCAAAAAAATCAAATATACTGGTACATAAAAACGTTCTTGTCACAAGAAATTTATAATTATGAAACATAAAAGCTATAACGTTGGGTAAGCTAAGTTTTTGTGGAAACCAGACAAATAGAAAAAGCAATTAACAGATTTATGGACGGACCAAAACTATGTGTTCCTAACATATTAACGAACAAGCAGACAGACGGACCAAAAACTATGTACCCAAAATCTAATCGATAACGGGGTATGCGCATAATTT